AAGGAAAGTAACAACAAGGGTTTTTGCAAAAACAAAGCAACATCAAAAGCTATTAAAAATATACAAATTACAGTCTTCCCTGCATTGGTGTTCTCCAGATTATGTAGGATTGCAACTCCCTACAAACTTAGGAACCATATTCACCATGTCTGGAGGGTGTCTAGTTGGACACGGTTGCAGTAATAATATCCCAAAGCATAATCTTTATCATGAAATCACTTTATCATGGAAACTATATCATGGAAACAACTCAACATAGAACTAAGGAGAAATTTCCTAACAGTGAGAACAATCCACCAGTGGAATGGCTTGCCTTCAGAAGTTGTGGATGCCCCATCACTGGATGGGGCACTGAGGAGAGACTGGACAGCCATTTGTCTGAAATGATATAGATTCTCCTGCTTGAACAAAGGGTTGGACTAGATGACCTCCAAGCTCCTTTCCAACTCTGTCATTCTATGTTATTCTGTGAAATGCACTTCTGCCACTGGGAGAATTATTGTCAGATAGCAGATTTACTACTAGAAAGTATCAACGGGATAACAACATGTTATAGTTTGCTTCTGGTTCAGAGAGGTGGAAGCAAAAGACCCTTTTGTCTCCTGAAGGAGGTGAAGGTATTTTCCTATGATGAAATGGAGCATGCTGTTAGCTCTGGTATAAAACAAAAGTATAATCTCATCCGGAATATTTAGCGATGAGACCCTTCTGTTCTTCTACATTTCAGCAAGGTCACACATGCAATATTTCCTTAGTTTCAGTATTAACATTTCATTCCTTATTTGAAAGCACTAGGGGAGCTGAGCTAATGGAAAGACTCAGAGATGATGGGCTGAGGATTTTCGTCCCTCTACTGCAACGGTTAATCCAGAACTAAAGATATTTATTTTTTAAAAAACTATCTGATGGTTGAAGCAAATATATTGCATTAGCCGCATGTTAGTAATGTAGCTAAAAGCACATCTATCATTAAAACCCAAACTCTTCATCTTCTCCCAAATTCGACCTGTGCCAGTGGAATGGTTTGCTCATGGTTAATTCAAGGATGCAGTATCATCTTGTATCATTCATGGACATTCAGAAATGTAAAAACCTTGAAATATGTCCACAAGAGGCAACAATTATTTATTTGTTTGTTTATCCTGTGGGATTTCTGTAATCATGAAAATATTCCCCAGCGTAGAAAAAAAGTTAAAAAACCTATAACATCACTTTTCAGATGCCTTCCACAACAAGAGCTTCATTTTCAATAGTTTCCAGAAGGTCTGAGCTAATGGAATATATCACAATGTAAAGTTCAACCAGCAAGTAGCAACAAAGAGTCTGGGCGGGTGTCTCTGCAGCTTTCTATCCAAAGAGAAATGTTACCTCAGAATGCACACTGGTATTGCAAAAAGTCAGAAATGATGAGCACACTTATTTATTTGACTCTACAGGAAATGGTATAAATGGTTTATTTGGCACTGGATATATTCAGTGGTGGGATTCAAATATGTGAACAACCGGTTCTCTGTGTGGATGCTGCTTCCGAAGTCCATTCTGGGCCCAGGCAACAAAAAATTAGCTACGGGTTCTGCCGAACTGGTGAGAACTGGTTGAATCCCACCACTGGATATATTCAGCATGAGGACATCTCAAATTACAGTGCAACCTTCTCTTCTCTTTGCACTCGCCAGATGCCTGGACTTTAATTTCCAGAATTCTCAGCAACAGTCACACTGCTTGCCTACTTTGGGACTTGAAGTCTTCCCATTTGGGAAAGGCCATCACACACAAATTTGCAACCACAAGATTTTACAACACTACTCAGTTCTTTAACCATAAATCATTAAAGAAAGGAGGAAAATGTTCTCAGATTCTGTTCAGGGCTATTTTGGCGTCTCCAGTTCTGTACAGAATAGCCCAGGATCATCTTGCTACCAGAAAGTTTAACTTACTTACAGTTCTGCTTCACTCAACCTGTAAATAAGCTACTTCTCAGTGACTCAACTGTGATGAGGATGTCCTATGGACCTATTCCATCCACTATGCAGATGGTAACAGTAGAAGAGCAACAAAAATGCTGCTGTTCACCCTTCTAATTTTATCTAAATCCTTAATCTGTTTATAACATTCAATTGCAAGTCCCTTTGTTGCTAGTTCCTATATAAGGACAGTACCATCTAGACCAGTGGTGGCAAACCTATGGCATGGGTGCCAGAGGTGGCACTTGGAGCCATCTCTGTGCGCACATGTGCCATTGCCCCAGCCTTGCCTCCCCTCGTGACTCCCTCCTCTCCAGCAGCCCCCCTGAATGAGAGTCGCCCTCGAGCGTGGCCCACACGGAGCAATGCAGCCAGGGACATGGCAGCCACGCAGCATAGACAAGATTCTGCCCTCACACCCCATCATGCAGTTGATGCTGCAGGGCGCAGGCAGAGGGTGTGGGGGCATAGTGCTGCTGGGCTGCCTGGGCGATCTGTGGCAGGCCCTGGAGGCGGTGAGTGATCCTGTGGGCAGGCAGGGTGGGGGATGGGGGATGGAGCGGGGGCGGGGCAGGGGGTGGAGGCGGGGCCAGTTTTTGGGCACTCGGTCTCTAAAAGGGTCTAGACAAAAAGCATCAGAGGATATATGAATCTAATTTTCAACCTCAATAATCTCATCCCGTATGAAATGAAAACATTATCCAGGTCACTGCCCCCTTCTTCTCTGGCAAAGAGAGGAAACAGAGGTGCTTGAAAAGATGTTCTCAGGATTCTTCCTTGGGGCTGTTACCCATCGGTCTCTGAACCAGTCAAAAACTGCACCTATTGGTGATCCTTGTTCTTCCTCAGGCAAGAAATCTTAGTCGTCTGTCAAAAATCACTTTGGTTTTGCATGTTTCTTTGCATTGTATACTCAAAGGGAGTCCAAACAACAGACATAGGGATAGTTGTGCCATGAAGCAGCAGAAAAACAGTGGGAGTTAGCTCCCCCCCCCCATTTCATGGTACCAGCACCCTGATTGCCATCATAGGACTTCTACTGTTCAGCATGATGCAAATTTTCCAACAGCTCATAGAGCTGACAAGTATAGGTGGAGAGCCAGATTTTAGAAATCAACTCTCCCACTTTCCCAAAATTGAATGACAGTGCTCAGATACCAGAAGGAAAGGGATGTGTCACACCATCCTGAAGGATTCTTTCCTACAGTACTCCTAAGAATTTATATTCCTTGCAGATAGCTGGTCATTTGCATTCTTTTAGAGAGTTGTTGGGGCCACTTGGAGGTTTGTCTGTGTCCTCAGGATCACTTGAGTAATGTAAATGGGTGTGGAGCCTTCTTGGAACTGCTGAAAGGACTGTGTTAACAACTATCATTATTCACTTAACACAGACATGTCAAACACAAGGCCTGGGGGCCGGATGTGGCCCGCGAAGTGGTTTCATATGGCCCGCGAAGCCATCCTGGAAACAGTGAGGGAACGGCCCCTGCTGCCTTGGCTCTGGCCCAGGCTGGCTGGGAGCCAATGTACAATTTTGTGGTGGCCATCTATGCTGAAATGTATTCAGTCTTAGCTCCACAAGGCCGTCTGGAAACAGCGAGGAACCAGCCCCTGCCGCGTCGGCCCCACCCCCTGGGTGCATGCACCCTTGACGCGAATGATGTAGAGCTGGCCACGCCCACCCAGTAGACCACACCCACTCCATCCACACTCACCCAGTAGGCCGCACCCACCCTGGCCACACCCACCCAGCCCCGAGGGCAACCGCAATGCTGATGCGGCCCTCAATGAAATTGAGTTTGACACCCCTGGCTTAACAGCTGAGGCAAAAACAAAAGTTGTAAAATCGAACATGACTCACGCCTTGCTTAGCAATGAAAATACTAGTCCCAACTGTGGTCGTAAATTGAGGATTACTTGTACTATGTCACATATCTTTAACACTTAGCAATTTTACATTTGAATTCCTTGCCTGGATACTAATAGGACTAGATGATTTCCTTTGCTTTCTTCTTACTAATAACCGATAGAGCATAATTTCTTGTTGTTACAATTTTATCAAATGTTTCCCAAACAATGTTAAGTTCAGAATATAGCCAAGGGGGGACTAAAAGAAAGATAAGAACCACCAAGTGATCATGCTGACATCTTACCGCTCTATCAATACAGTTTTGCTATAAGGGGAGCATAGAAACCATTTGGAGTCTTTTTGCTTTGAATAACTAAATTAAATGATTGAAACATAATGATACTTATCTGTTAAAAAAAAGCTACGGGAGATTAAAGAGCAGAATTAAGCCCGTTAGATGTGTCACTGAAAGCAATCGTATATTCTCAGTTACTAAAGCCTTTTCTAGCAGCAGCCTCTTTTCGGATTTATCATTAACATCTACATTCTAATACCTCTAAATAATTCAGAACAGCTTTCAGCTATGCCCTTGCCTGCCTAACAGCAACTGCTTTTGCTATTTACATTGCATCCAAGTGGAAATATTTCCTTAACCCTTAGGGAGGAGTAAGCCTTTTGTTATCTCTCTGTAACATGAGGGCTCCCTTCCTCTCCACACACACATTATGTATATATATATATTTATATATATATATCAATTGTATGTATATGAACTATAAATGTAGACAATGATTTATCCACAGAGTTAGGACCATGTGCACTCAGACTGTCATGGAAATACCCCTTTAATAATCCTAATGCAGGCAACCATCCAATCAGAATGCTATCTCTTCCCTGATACCTGATGCCAGCTTCCCTGGTAATGTAGGCCACTGAAGCAAATCCAGAGAGATTGAGTTAGAAGACAAAATAGCGTCCAAGATTCATTTGGTCAGTGTTCTACCCTTTCCTTCTTCACTGCCAGGAACAGGAGAGAATATCAGCATGGTTTTCAGCTTAGGCATTCCAAGCTAGGCCTAGTATCAGGGGAAAAAAGAAAGAGGGAAGGGACGGTATTAAAAATAATCAAAAAGAAGACCACAACTGAAGAGGAAGAACAAAGAACAAACCCATACGTCCATGAAAGTATGCGTTGGCTTCTGGACAGTGGTAGCTGGAAGAAATTTGGACACGCTGACAGGGGAAACTATGACTGGTTAACCAGTGAACCAGGTGTGCCATTGGTGGAAACAGAGCTACAGGTTTGTGTCTTCTCTTCTCTTTATATTCCTTGAATTTACTTCTGTTCTTTCAAGATGTCTCGTTTCAGGATGACAAAGGGTTTGTGCAAGTGTTTTATTTTACATAAATTGCACGCTGTCCTCCATGCAATAGTTCCTTTGTTTTCACCAAAAAAAAGTTTGCAGAAACTGATCTAAATATTTACCTCAAAACTTAACATCAAATGGATATTTTGGCTGCTTTTGAATCTGTCATTTTATTTCAATCCTATTTCATTCTCAATCCTTTCTCTCGGCAGATCCAGTGATATTAGAATAAGTGATAATTCAGCAAATTTTGTTTCCTGGATTATATTACTTTTCACAGTGTTGTGAGTGGCAAAAGGGGAAGGCGTGAGAGATCGATCAGAAAGACTACCCTGACAAGACAATCTAAAAGAGATTTTGAGGGTCAAATTATTTTTCTCTGTATTTTTTACAGTAACTTGTAAAGTAATTTAGTCTGGTTCTTTAAATAATAGCCTAACTGCACTGGGTCAAAAATAAAACTAATAGCAGGCTAGTAATGTAATTCTCTGCATGTCTACTCTGAAGTAAGTCCCACTGAATTTAGTGGAAAATTGAATGGAATTTATTCCTTCTAAATATTTCTAGGTCTCCTGGTTAGACAGAATAATTTATTGCAATAAGACCAGAAGAATAGTAGTAATATGACAGTAAATGATTGCAATGGTGTTTTTTGTGTTGATGTCAGCTACTGTAAGCATAAATGTGATTCTTCACATTTGCATGATTTCATAGAATTGTTCACAATGCATATTTTTTCATTGATGTCTAAAATGTGATTTCATTCATCTGAATGTTTAAACTATTACCATACCTAAAAAAAAAAGTAGTGTTGAAGTTAATACTGAATGTGTTTGGTTTGTGATGAAAAATTGGTGATTACTCATTTACATCTTCACAACACTACTTAATGCTAGAGTCAACATATTTTTGAATCTGCATATAGTGATTCACATCTACATACAGTGTTTAAATATCATTCCATGTACACATTTTTTCTCTTCTTGATTAAAATAGCTTATGATTTCTACATCGTTACCACAATGAGCCAAACTCCATTCTCAGTAATCAACCAGATTTTTATTTATTTTGTTTTTTCTCTGCCTTTGTTCAAAATTCAAAAGTACACTCATATGTTCACAAAAGTGCATAGGAAAACACTGAAGAGAGAAGCATCCTAGAACTAAGGAGAAATTTTCTAACGGTGAGAACAGTGGAATTGCTTGCCTTCAGAAACTGTGGGTGCTCCATCACTGGAGATTATTAAGAAGATATTGGATAGCCATTTGTGTGAAATGGTACAGGGTCTCCTCCTTGAGCAAGGGGTTGGACTAGAAGACCTCCAAAGTCCCTTCCAACTCAGTAATTCTGTTATTCTGTAAAACCCTGCTCTGCAGTGATGAATTTGTAAGTTTGGCTATAAACGTGTATTAGTCTCATTGATTAATTTTGAAATCCTGGCTAGGGAAATGTTAGAATATTATACAAATCAATGCCTACTTATTAATGAATCAAGCAATTCTATATATTTTTGAAAAAATATTATTAGTCATATCTGCTTTCTTTTTCTATGTTTTCTCAACCAAAATATATAAGACAGACAGTATGGCCAGGTGTAAATAAAGAGCACTGTAAAATGGTAATGTTTGTTTCATGCAAGAAGACTCAGGTCAAATCAGTCGTACATTTTAACAGAATGTATTTGGAAGAGATGCTGTTTTGTGGATTGATTAAACCAGTACAGACATTTTGCAAAATTGGTTTACCAAAGTATTCAAATAGAATAAAAGTGCACACTCTATAGTTTAATCATTCTTTCAAACTGCCTTCAAGTCTCCAGATTAAAACTCCAAAATAATGTCAATGTTTTAAATAGGTAAACTATCTACAATATGCATTTTGTATTGTATTCAAAGCGTTGAATACTTAAAGTCAACTGATGATTCATACTAAAAACCTGCAACAAATGATATCATTGCTGTTGCATTTGGAAATATTGATTAACCTATCCATTCCCTCATGAGATATAAAAATCAGAGTATGCAAGATACACTTAAGTATAATTTGGAATACATCCTATTTACCTTATACCATTAGGCTTCAAGTGGTAGTAAAATAGAATCAAACATAAAAGGTTTGCAGTTTACTTTTCCTTCACAAAGTATTTATTTTAATGGTAGTGCTGCAATATTTGATATTCACCATAATCCTTTCTACCATATTATATACCATTAAATATGTATTGAATATATAATTAAAGAACAACATAAATTTTTAATTTCCCCTTTCCTTCCTAGTGACAATTTCTCCATTTAAATAATGTCCCAGCTGAATATTACAATAAGCTGGGGTCTTGTTTACATGATACACTTCTAATACAAACAGTGAAAAATGATGACATGAGAATTATACATTTTCATGCTAAAGAGAAATTATATATATACATATTTCGGATGTTTCTGAAGAACATCTAAAGATTGACCAAGTATCCATTAATTCAGACCAGTGGAAAGAAAATGTCCGGAATTTAAACTCTGGAACACAAATATATATAAAAAGCTCTGACATCTGCATATGACAATGGGCAAATGCATGTGTGACTTTATTCTTATAAACAATGAAGATTCTAATATGTCTGAAAGTCTTCTATCAAGTCAAGCCAAGTGCTAAATAAAGAGTTAAGCGTTTGAAGAACTATGATGTATTGTGAAGCTCTGGTGCAAAGCTCAACACAGAAAAACTACAGAGAATTCACACCACAGAAAATATCTATTAGTATAGGCAACATATATCACTAACATATACTATAACATACATATAAACATATACATACCATGTCAATAAATGAACAGTTGTCAAAATGATACTTCTTTATGTCTTTATGTCCTTGTGGATGCCCAGTGTTTTAATGCAAATAGACTGAGTTTGTGTTGTCATTTGCCCCCAATGTCTATGACTAGAAACCATGATTTGCTATCTGACATAGTTTTATCATGAAACTGATATGCTTATGTACATCATTTACAATAATTCCTATGTGTTGTAATACAAGTACAATAGTCAGAAGGAAACCATGGGCCCTATTTTTTTGCAATTGTTTCAAATAAGATTAAATCTATATATGTATTCCATGCAGAATTATAAAAACTTAACAAAAACAAGATGAAAAAAATAAAAATAATATATACATCCTTAACAAATCTATTAAGGCAACTCACTATTACTTTTTTAATTGTTAGATTGTTTTGACAACACAAAATGTAACAATAAAATAGGTGTCAGCTTGTATTCTCAAAAATGTGGTGTCCTATTCCATTCAATTAAGTTCCACAATTCCATCCAGAAGAATTCCCATTTCCATGTATGCCTTACACAAGCAGAAATATTTTTATCCCGCTTAAATGATCATTTAACAAAAAAAAAATCCTTTGGCTGCTAGCATAAATTTCTTAAAGTAGGACAGGTAGATAAATTTAAAAGAAATGAATGCTAAAGTAATTTAAACACCCTACCAAAATCATAGTATATAAATAGCAAAGTGTATAAATAGCAAAAACTGTGATTTATTTGGCAGCAAAATTAATAGCTGCTTATTCATCATCTGTCCTGTCTGGTTTTTTAAAATCTATTTACCTTTTTTTATTATTAAACTTTTTATTTATTTTCTAATATTACCATTATATCTTTGAAAAACAACGTGGCAGCTAAGTTACAATGATTCAATTACATATAGATATTATTAATACAAGTCTCCAACTATTCAGCCAATATTTCCTCTTTTTCCTTTAATATGTACTGTCTCTTATTAGTATACTTCTTATTCTATTGATCAGATACAAAATAGCTTTCTTACATTTATCAATAATTTTTAGTTTATGTATATCTTAATTGTTTTAATATTCCATCTTTTAGACCATCAATAACTTAATAAATTTTCCCAGTTTTAATTTTCCATTAATATTTAAGTTTAACGTTTAGTATTTATCATTTAGTTTTAAGTGGCCCCAATTCCCTTTGTCACAATTCCCCACAACATCTGATGTTCAGGATACATATCTTATCTATTTACCCTTATCAAAGTTTAAGAGGGTACTTAAATGGGGGAAAGAAAAATGTAAAATGATAAGGGGGGAAAAACCCTGCTTATAGTTACTTCTAGCATGGTTAGATAAATGCAGGGATGAGGATAAATTAAGTTGCAAGATAATGTTTATATGATTCAGTCAACATTTTAAATAGATTTGGAAAGTGTCAGTTGTGTTCTTCTTCATACTTTATACCATTGCTAACTCTAAGGTCAAAATCAGCTATAGGATGGCAGGAGAGACTGGAATGTAATGCTGAGACTTGACCACTTTAACTTCTGAACCAATTTGTTTAATTAAAACATGGGTGTGCTCGGCACCTCAGAGCATCCTATAGTTGCCGCTCCACCTATCCACTGAATAGCTACTAGTGAAATCATACTGGAGAAGAGCTGAGTAGTTTGCCAAAAGCATAGTTCCTTTGGGAAAGGGCACAAAGCCATCAGGTTTTTTTTAAAAATCCCAGTCACTGAGTTGTTAAATCAGCCCTCTGATAGCCATAGAAGAGTAGGGAAACAGTTGCTATCCAACTGATAGCAGTAGAGGCAATATAAGAGAGGTAAACATACTGATCTGGATCCTTATTTCCTTCCCTCTGGGGAAGCTTTCTGTTTCAATGGTGCTTTTTCAATGGGATAAGGGTAAAGAGGGCATTTTAACACCTGGAACTCTAGAAATGCTGCTACAGGGGTTAAAGGATGCTCTAAAATGGGTTAAGAGGTGGTGCTGTAGGACCTCCCGGTTTCTGAGATGTAATTAAAAGAACTCCTTCAAGGATTGTTCCTATTGGCAGGAGCAAACATTAGATACAATCAACCATTTTGGGGTTTGATGGAGGTAATTATTGGCATAGAAAAGGAGGCTACAGAGTCTTTGCAATTGCTATTTTCAAATCACCTCTGACAGTCCATAATAAAGTTTTCCTGAGTGATAGGGTATAATAGCAAACACCAGCCTATGTCTCAGAGGCTTCAAGAAGAGAGATTGATTAGCCCTTAGGTGGAGGCATTTTTCTAAGGGAAAGTGAGAGCCTGCTTGGAGAAGTACTCATTGGGCAGTACTCAGTTGTGCATACTCTGCAAAACAACACATTCTATTATATCTGTATTTATACTTGATTAATTTGCTTATTTCAGTGGGTTTGGCTTTTTTTTTATACTACTGTTTACTGCCCTGAGACGTTTTTATGAAAGTCAGGATTCACATAAAATGAAATTGGCTAAGGCCTGATACACATTCTTGTCTTGGTTTCTCCTAGAGTCAGCATAAAGCAAGTTCGACCAAAGAAGACATAGAGCCATTCCTATGCATCATATTACCAGCTACCGTGATGCTCTTCCTGGCATTCCTGTTGCTCTTCCTCTACAGACATTGCCAACGTCGCAATCCTCAGGCTCAGATCTTCAGCATTGATCTGCCAGAATCCCTTCCGGAGCATGAGGTGACAGATTTTCTCTCTGTGCTACCCTGGAACAATGAGCAGAGGTTCCAATACTCCACACTCCTGCCTGAAACTGCCTTTCTCACTGTATGCCTGCCTCCATCATATGAGGAGGCCACCATGAAGGCATCCATGGAAGAGGACCATGTTCAGCGATTTCAGGAGCCACTGCCTCCTTATGAAGAGACCAAAGAACAATAAGCACACAGAAATCTTTTTGGTCAGGGTCTCCAGTCTATAATGACTTCTGAAAACAAAGTAAGAAGAACTAAGAGCAAGGCAATCTGTACAAGCACAATGGAGCTTCAAAGGATTAATTTAAAATGGTAACAGTATCAATTTAAAATGGAATATATATTGAAATAGCTCACCAGCCAACTGTATTGGATGAAGGAAAGATTAAACTTAACACTATGCCTAGGAAATTCCTGGAGTAAATGACATACAGATGTTTTAGAAGGCAAATCTGAAGTGAGTTGGATTGCAACAGCTGTGCTGGAAAGCAACTAGACTTGAATTACACATATACATAATTGAAAGGGCTTTAAAGTTTGTAATGCAGTAATATTTCTTAGACATTTTATGAATTCAACAAATAATCAACAAGTTTACATATCAAAATACTACAGATTATACATGACTTTTGAAATGTATCTGAAGGTCTCTGAATGGCACACACAATAAATGCGCGGTTTTTTTGAGTGTTTAAGAAAAGTGGAACATTTGGAGATTTAATTATTGGAAGGCACAATAAGATACTTAATACACCAATGCGGTAATCTTCTGCACTGTGTATAGAATAATTTCACGGTTTTTCTACTTTTAAATAAAACTCCAGTAATCTTTTAATTCTAGATATAAAGTTAAATATGGCTACGTTAAAAACAATAAAGTATTTAAATTTATTTATTTATTTATTTTGCTTTTCAGGTAGATTACATTTATGTCACTAGAAAATCAGTATTATCTATCTATCTATCTATCATCTATCTATCTATCTATCTATCTATCTATCTATCTATCTATCTATCTATCTATCTATCTATCTATCTATCTATCTATCTATCTATCTATCTATCTATCATCCCTATCATCTGTTTGCGAGAACAACCTTTCCATAAGGACATCTACCTGTTCTATCTGACTAGATAGGGTAGGCATACTCCTAATGTCTTTCTTTATACACTGTCACCTTATAGGAAATGTGCCTTTTCCCTTGCCCCTCTGGAACATTCTTCCCTCTGAGGTATAGCAGACCGCTATCCTCCCAGCCTTCTAAAAGGGACTGAAGATTTGACTTTGCCCCCCAAGTGCTGGTTATAGGATGAGGTGATTGTATGCCAGAAGCTTAACTTGGGGCCAGGTTTTTGTTTTGTTTTGTTTTCATGTTTATGGTTTTAAGAGTTTTAATATAATTTTTTGTTGTTTTATTATAATATTCTTTAATTCTTGATTGGGAGCTTGTTAAAACAACAGTGACTATATAAAGGTTTTAAAATAAACATTGAATTTTTAGCTGTATTTCAACATCATAGTTTTAGATATGAACCTAAGGGAGAAAATTTAGAACAATTATCACAGCTATTTTAATCAATAACATATCTATATGAATGTGTAATTGCATAGTTTTCATAAGTCAACAGGCAAAGTAATGCTTTAAGTAATATCCATCAATAGGCACAAACTTACTCTTTATCTGATAACTATCATTTTATATAGACATGTTAGTAAGAACAGAAACAAATAATTTCTTGGTAAATTAGAATTGCCTATAGGTGAGATTCGCAGCATACAAATCAAATAAGTAAGTAAATAAATAGCTACTGTAATTGATGTGGATGCTTTACTCATATTTATTTCAAAAAATCAGTTATTTTTAAAAAAAACCAATTGCCTGTTGTCATCCAGATAAACATTTCAGGACAAATCAATGCAATCTACACTAAGGAATGAATTAACATCATTATGCTGAACTAGCATTCTACATTTTTTTATTAAATAACTGCATCAGTATAACCTCTCTAATACTGATACTATAGCTCTATTGCTTATTTATTTTTAGTAGAAGTTGTTAAGAAACAAGCTGGAATTTAACAGGCCAATATTCTTTAAATTCAAGTCACTTGACTAACAATGCTTTTCTAGTTGGACAGATTATGCATCAACATAATAAATATTACAAACCAATAGTTTTCAGAGTGTCTCTACTTTCTTAGCCTAATAAAAGTTTACTTTCTATCCCATCCATTCTTTATATATCAATGACTATCAAGATCTCTTGGCAATTCACAATAAAAAGGATAAGTCCATAAAATCAAATTAAAATGAAGTAATTTGAAAATACATTAAAACCATTAGAAACTTGTTCAAAGGCAAATATTTCCAAGCTCAGGAGGGGTTCAAAGAAAAGGAAATTATAAGGAAGCCTCTGGGTGTTAGATAAGGTCTAACAAATGTATATATTGCTATGCACAGTAAAAATATAGTATTTGAGACATAGTTAAGCCTGAGAACTAGGGATATGATAATCCTTCTATTCTAATAGGCTCAACAGTACTTCCTAAATGGTACTTTGCTAGGATACCTAAAAAGACCAGGATATTATTACTAATCCCACTTGAGAGTTTAATCACACTTGTGACATTTGGGAGGATGGATTTGTACAGATAAGAAACTTTTATTTTCATATTGATTTATGCAGAAGCAATTTAAAGTTGCAACATAATATATTATCCTGAGCAGGGGGTTGGACTAGAAGACCTCCAAGGTCTATTGTTATTGTTATTATTATTATTATTCCTGGCGGTTCCAACAATGAACTTTTGTGCAAGTGAAACGTGTGGAAGAATGTACACCATTCTGCAGTCAGCAGTCTTTTTGAGTTATTTTGCACAATTATTCAAAGTTTTTTTTTTCATGCACATCCAAAGGTCTCAAATTTATGCGCTCTTATGCTGAAACCTTGCCGAAGTTCGCTGTTCTTACCCTGAAATTTCGTGAATTGCCTATCCCAAATTACACAAGAAGAGTTTGGCATTCTTACAAAAACAACAAGGAAGTCTTGTAACACTCAGCAAGATTTCATTAGAGGACCCTCTAATCCAGGGGTTTCCAACCGGGGTTGCTCGCACCCTTTGGGGGGTGCAAGACAATATTCCAGGGGTTGCGAAAACTTGGGTTTTCAAAATTGTAGTGTATATGCATAATTCGTTGCCGTTATTTCGAACTTTTGTAAGGGGTGCGAGAATATATCAGAAGCGTTCTTAGGGGTGCGGGGTATAGAAAAGGTTGGGAGCCGCTGGACTAGCCAAACCCTAACACAGGGGTTCTCAACCTTGGCAACTTTAAGACTTGTGGACTTCAACTCCCAGAATTCCTCAGCCAGCAAAGCTGGCTGAGGAATTCTGGGAGTTGAAGTCCACAAGTCTTAAAGTTGCCAAGGTTGAGAACCCCTGCCCTAACAAGTAAACCTCGCTCGCTCCTTGGCTTTGCCCTGCAAAGCGCCAAGCGCGTCCCTCCCCGCAGTTCAAAAGGAGTGTGTGATTGTGAATGTGAACGTTCAAGTTTGTGCTTCAACGAGGCAAGGGCGCAAACTTCGAGCGCCAAAAGTTTCCTTCGCCGTCCTCGAGCGCGAGAAACGCCCTTGGCCCGAGGCAGCCAGCGCCCCCGCCGAAATGCGAGCATTCCCTCAGCGGAAAGAAACGCAGCGCTGGTGGGAGCGAGCTGGCGAGAGGAACCACTCGTGCCTCCTGCTTCAAAGGGCCCTTTTCATCTCTCCCTCTCCTCCTCCTCCTCCTTCCCCCTCCCCCCTTTGGGCATCTGACAGGAGGCCATGAGCTCACTCCTTCTTTCCCCGGGAGACCGCGCCACCACAACAAGCGCCATCCCACACCCAGCGCCACCAAAACCAGAAGCTTTTTTTTTTTTCCCCGCCCCTTTCTCAATCCAAGCAAAACAGCAGGCCGAGGCTCCCTTAAAATCCCCCCCCATGGGCGTAAATGCCGCCCACTCGCAACCAATCAGAAAGCCACATTCTCCGTTATCCCCACCCCCTCCCCGCAGGGACCAGCAGATTCTTTGTGCGATTTTCGGGAGGGGGGGCGAGCGGGGGCGGAGGAGAGTCATTATTCTCTCCATCCTAAAGCGGGAAGCCCCGCCCCGCAACCCTGGCAGCTAGAAATGTTATGCCCCCAAACTCGGTTGCCCCCTTTGTAAAGTTCTTGCTTGGGGACCAGAGAAGAAGAGGCTAACCGAAAGGTGAGTTTGGCCGAAAGGAAGGAGTAGGCATTTTGGTCTGCCTCCCCCCCCCGTCCCATATTTTGAACTACACAACCCCTAGGGCAGGGGTAGGCAACCTTGGCTCTTTTATGACTCGTGGACTTCAACTCCCAGAATTCCTGAGCCAGCACAGCTGGCTCAGGAATTCTGGGAGTTGAAGTCCACGAGTCCTAAAAGAGCCAAGGTTGCCTACCCCTGCGCCTAGGCCTTTCTCCTGGGTCGTGCTGTCCCAATTGAACTCTTCAAAATCTGAACGGGGTCAGGTTAGCCTTTGGCTGAGCGGAGCGAAGCAGGACGCGATGTAGGTGTGAAGAGTTGTGTACAAGCAGTTGTGTGAAGAGGTGTGTACAAGCAGGCGCGATGTAGGTGTGAAGAGTCCCTGGATTGGGGTTTTTTCTTCTTTGAATAGAGAGGCGCGACAAATGGAAAAGCAGCCGGGTTTGCCCCGCTGCTCGGCGGCGTGCAGAATAAAAAGGTATACCGGTTGAATGGGGGGCTCATTCTGAAGCCATGCAAGGCAGAAGTGCTTCACGGAGGAATGCAAAGTTTTATCTACTTAAGGAATGGTGAATGCTTATTTAGGAGTGGGACTTCAGCCTTGAGGGGGTCTATCAAATTAATCAACGTGTGTGTGTGTGTGTGTGTTGTGGAGGACACTACAAGCCCAGTTAAAAGAACAGGAGCAAACTTCTATCCAGGAAGTTGTTTTCAGGCCATTTCTGTGTTTGCAGTCTTCTTTTTAAAGTGATTATTATTTTTATGGTAGAATTTTACATAGGCTTAAAAACTCTAGAAAGAAAAAAGCACAAAAAGAAAAGGTAAAAATAAGGTGAAAGATAACAAAAGGAAAAGAAAAATATATATAAAGAGGCGACTTCTGATCTTATTTGCAGCTGTTACAAACACCAATTTCCATCTCATCGCATCCATACTACATATCATGGTCTCCTTTTTCTCTTAAAACAATCCATTTTAATCAAATTCCCAAAATCACCAGTTCATTTTTATCCATTTTCAGCAAGATAACCATAAGGGTTTCCAGTCTTTTATAAAAATAACTGCTCCTTAATCAAACAAGTCAATTTAACCATTTCTGCAAATATATCTGCTTGCAATCTTGCTACTCAATTCTTTTCCTTGTTCCTTAGCCATCATAGCTTTTCTTCCTCTCGTCAACTTAAGAAGTTGAAGAGATAAGAATAAAATAAAAATTCAACAACTATATTGTAGTTGTTAAAGACCTACAAGCTAGAATCCTTTGCAGATCTTCTTTCAAAAGCTTTATGAACTTAACAGGTCTAAACCAGAATATAGAAGAACTCCTATAACTTTATTCCTTTTGTTTATATAGGATGTTGAAGACTATAAAACAAGCCCTTTTTTCTTCTGGCTTGGAGATGCCTAAATGGACTGCATTGCCAAATCAGGTGACTTATCTTTTCATTTCCAGCCTAGGATTAGCCTCATTCAAGAAGTAATGGAACTGATTCTCCAAATTGTCTTGAGAGACTTACAGACCACAAAGGATCCAGATGTTTTTAAATTAGCCCAAATTAAACCAAAGAGATTGTAGGGGCTAAATCCATAATGTGTGATTTGGAACATTAGATGGCAGGAGTTTCCGGACATGCTTCTGGCGGAGGGGGGGGCTAAATGCATATAAACATTGTAAATTGGTGGGGGGCACTAAAAGGGGGAAGTTGGAAACTAGATAGCTGTTTTTGTTTTACTTTTTGCTATTTTGTCTGTTTTTCTTTTTTCTTTTACAAACAATAATAATACAGTGGAGATCTTAGTATTAAATATTAAGCTTAAATGGAAACCTTTACTGTATAACAAATAGTTTTGTATATGTTGCAGTTGTTTATTAATGACACTTTTGCCTTTGGATGTAAACGTTAAATAACCTTATGACTGACATTTTAGGAATTACAGTTAATATTGATATAAATATTTTTAAAAGTTTAAATTATCTAAATATTAAAGTGTTAATAATTTCTAGTCAATACTGTATTGTGCCTAAATAATACAATGTACTACTTAGGTTTTATAATAATAAAATACAGTTAAACAATAAAAGAGTTTTCTAGCACAACGGCCTCTAGTTCAGTGTAACCATGCCATAAAATCTGCATCACTGGTGCTAACTTTGCATGTCGTCAGTAGATGTGTGCTATTGTAGATGTGAATATCCCAGAAAAACAATATTAAAGGGACTGTGAATTTCCAACTTAATTTCATATGGCCCCTACTCCTTGTCAACCCTTTGAATTAGGTCAGGTCAGGAGGCAGAATTAGGAAGGAGTCAACCTGAGCTTCTCTCACGCACTTTTATTGTTTGCCAGCATGAAAGTTTCTTTGTTTATGTAATCATCATTGTTTCTATTTTTTTGGCTCCCTTCCCCCCTCTGTCATATTTCGCATCCTATACTGTGCCCTCCTGTCTTTAGTATGCATTTCATAAGTTAGATCCTCCTTGGGAACAGCCCTATAATTAAATAATACAAGGTGGTCTCCTTAGATAGGAAACTCTAGGATATTCCAAATAAACTCTTATTGGCCATATTGTCTAAGTTACCCAGTTACTTTGCCATCTTGAATGCGGACTTGGGCAGCAGCTGTCTTTGCATATTAATTGTCTATGCTGTCTCTTCATGTAAGACACTTCACTAGTGAGTTGGGTGGTGTATAAATGTAATAAATAAATAAATAAAGTCACTTTCTTTCAAAGAAAGATTGACCGTGTTCCTGAAAAGGAATCCTTGTGATTGAGATGACAAACAGACATAGCCAACCCAGGTCTGTACTTGAGATGGCAATAAAAGTGCAACTATCTTGATCTGTTCATATGATGCATGAGCAGGTGGAGCAAAGTGTTGTGTGCAAGCTGTGTGCTTGTTCTGCCCTATTCTGGGCGCTGAAAGCCAGCCTGTTAGTCTTATAGAAAGGGAAGGGCAATGCTTTAACTGAATGTTGAAGTAAAATAATTTAACTGCTAGTTTCATCAACTTGTGATTAGTTAAATTGATTTTGCCTATTCAACTTGAATCAAATTAATACTGAAAAATTAAAAAATAGTGAATTAATAACCACTTTGCCCCAAAAGCAATATTCTGGTTTCAGTTGTTGTTATAAATCAAGGACCATCTGTACATCAATTTTTTTCTAGCAGTTCCATAACTTTGAATAGTCAACTGGACAAATAGCCATAAACCAAGGATTATCGCTACTCTTTTTTGATATCTGTCAGGAGATTAGCCTGTCCCAACCTGACACCTGTCAGGTATATGGAGGCCCAAACCCAGAATTGCAGCACAGGTAGCCTTGTTAGCTGCAAGTTCTGGGAATTATGGCCTAAACGTGTTTGAAAGGTATTTCAACTTTATGAATGTTACTTGGAATTACTACCAAAGTAGAGAGCAAATCTATGTATAGTCCATTTTTCCCCTCTCTTTGAAATAAAAATCAGACATTTGACTCTGGAATGAAAGAGGATAGATCTTTTCTGTCTTACTATCTTTAATACTTTCTTGTGTAGTAATTTTTTGCCACTCAAAATACTTTTTCTAAACATTTCTACCATACAGAAAAGTGTTGTTTTTTTCTTTGAAGCGTGTATTGCAGATAGATGGCAATTTGACTGAGGAAATGACTTAAGAGTGGAGGGAGATAAGTAGCTCATCCTTATTTCTTTGCTTGAATCGCAACCCTTTATGGCTACTTCTAATTTTTAAACTATCACAACATTAAATGCATCTGTGTATATTCTCCAGTAGGATCATTCACAAGCTTGAAAAGAAATGCTCCAAGACGTTGCGTGAGCCTAGTACCTCTGACTCATGAAAACAGCAGGTTTTTCTGTGTAGAGCCAGTGCCACGAGGCTTTAAGAATTCCTTGAACCAGCTCTTTTTCAGCCTTGGGCAGAAGCCTGGAAAAACTTAGGCTGCTTTAATGACTACAGAGAAGTGCTGTGCATGTGCTCCCAGCATACGTCAAGCACTTTTTTCAAATTCTTTGTGAGGTGTGCACAGCTATAATACTAATGGGGCTGTTTTGTGAGCAAGAATGTGCTATAAGATCAGATTGCAGGATGGCAGTAGGAAGCATTTTTGAAATAAAGTTGGAAAATGGGTTTTAAATAGCCCTTCTGTCAGTACAACGCCTCTTGTTTGAAGTCCCAAAGGTGCTTTTTCACAAGGCAACTGGACTTTCTGAGGGCTTCCTTGATGTGTTTTAGTTCTTTTTCTTTCCAATCTTTGCTGGTAGGCAGATCTTCAGCTCTGAGGTGTAGGGTTCTGATAACTCCCATTTTGTGCTCCAGTGGGTGGTGAGAATCAACATGTAAATATTGATCCATGTGTGTGTGAGTTTTCTGTAAGATGGGAAAGGATAAAACACCCAAACACAAACCAACGACACAGATAAACCTCCAGGTGGCTTCAATGACTCTCTAAAAGAATGCAAACGACCAGCTGTCTGCAAGGAGTATAAATCCTTCCATTACCCACCATCCAGTCAGAGCTGAAGAAGCTTCTTGGATGAGAAGTGAAATGTCTTCAAAGAAAAAAACAAGAAAGTCCAGTTGCCTTGTGAAAAAAGCACCTTTGGGATAACTATGACCTGGATGACTGAGAACCTCCATAGACACTCCTGTTCAAAGGTGTTCTGTCCTTTATTCATGTACTGTTTATTTACTATGTTACATCCCACTTTTCTTCCAATGAGCTCTAGCCAACCCATCTATTCTCACAACACAGGGTGATTCAGGTATGGCTGACTTAGAGTTACTGAATGAATGTCTATGGAGATTCTCAATCATCCAGGTCAGGGTTGTCCCAAAGGTGTTTTTCAAAAGGCAACTGGACTTCCTTGGGTTTTTTTCTCCTTGAATATATTTTGCTTCTCATACAAGAAGACGCCAAAATTCCAAGAAGAACTGAAAAAGTTTCTTGGATGAGAAGCAAAACGTATTCAAAAAGGAAAAAAAAGGCAAGAAAGTCCAGTTGCCTTTTGAAAAGCATCTTTGGGTTACTGAACGAGTGTTACGGTTAAATGTGGGTCTGCCCTATCCTAAACTAACTCAGTAAATATTGTAGCTTAGTTTAATTTATGTTTTATTGGTATTTTAATGAATTCCTTCTGAGTTTATAGTATGCAAATTATTTAGTAACAGTGTCATGATCTGTGACTTGGACTTTTTTTAAAAGGCATCTGATTATGAAATTCGACAGTATGAACCTGCCAAATGGGTGTGTACATCTCTTAAAACCATAGACTGGGATGCAGCCATAAATGCTGGCTTCATGAAGCTCTTTAACTATATTAAAGGCAAGAATGAAAAAGGTAATATACAGAGGCTTTGGGCACCAACGTATGCAAGCTATTTTCTTGAAATTGTTCTTCTTTTTTCACATGGAAAAAAATCATGCCACACAGACATATTTCATCATTTCCCAAAATGTGTTGCCTTTCTAAATATCTTACATGCATATTCTAAAAGCTTTTATCGGAAGTTGTTCTTTATTTTTTGGGCTAAAGGCGCATACAAATATTTTAATAGACATTTCCAAACATGGATAAAGAATAAGTAAGTTCTTAAAGTTATTAGAAAAGTAATCATTCTGAGGACATTCATTTTACCAAAGGTTGTGTGGTTAAATTGCCTCAATCCTCTAAATTTTTGTTTGAAATAGCAAAAAAACGTTTAATGATTGCATTGGAACTACTTTTTCCTCTGTAGTAGTCAGGTGCATTTTTAAATATTTCTAAAGTTACCTCATTTGTAGGTTTTCTGCCCAGAAAGCATAGTAGATATATTTTCTTGTTTTGACTGAGTTAGCTTAAGATTAGTCATTTGATTATATTTATTTTGTGTGCAGTTAATATTGAGCTAGATCAGTGGTGGCGAACCTATGGCACGCATGCCAGAGGCGGCACTTGGAGCCCTCTCTGTGGGCACACGTGCCGTTGCCCCAGCCTTGCCTCCTCCCGTGACCCCCTCCTCACCAGCAGCCCCCCGAAGGAGAATTGTCCCCGAGCGTGGCCCACACAGAGCAGCGCAGCCAAGGACATGGCAACCAGGCAGCGTAGACAAGACTCTGCCCTCACACTCCATCGCGCACAGTTGATGCTGCGGGGCGCGAGCAGAGGGCATGGCTGCATTGGTGCTGCTGGGCTGTCTGGGCGATCTGTGGCGGGCCCTGGAGGTGGTGAGTGGCCCTGCGGGCAGGTGGGGTGGGGACGGGGCAGGCGGGGTGAAGTTGGGGCGGATCCAGTTTTTGGGCACTCGGTCTCTAAAAGGTTCGCCATCACTGAGCTAGATGTTTGCCCAGAATAAAATCATTATTTCTGGCTGATACTATTATTTAATGTATGAGAGATGTATGAGAGATTTCAGGATTTTAGCATCCTAGTTTAAAGACTCATTCCTTAAAGTTTAGCAGCATGTTTACTTTGCTTCTTGGTGGAGCTAGTGACGTGATTCTTCCTGCCTTTTGCAGGAACAAAGATAGCTATGACAGCTCCAGTGACATGCTATGTCCAGCCAGGAGCTGGCCCGTTCTCCGAGTCCATCACAACAGTTGCCTTTTATTTGCCAACTCAGTACCAGGCAAACCCACCCAAGCCTTCAGAAGCAGATGTCTTCATCGAAACCAAGCCAGCAATTACAGTCTATGTCAGGTAAATATTGACCTCTCAGAAGGGACCCTCTCTAGTTTCTTGGACTATAAAGGCAATGGGGTGGGGGAGAGATGTATGTATGAACTATATATTTTTTTAAAAAAAATTATACAGGTAACACAGTCCCTATTTAAAATATCTATACATTACTACCTGCTGCATATTAACTAGCCAGTTGGGATGTGTGAGGGAAAGGTTCCCCCCCCCCTTCTAGTGATCTTAGTATGATAATGTTTTATCAGTTGGGATGAAAGATAACTCTTGCATACAACAGCTAATTGGTCGTAATGGAATATATCTGGGCCAAAAGCTATTTAACATTGTTAATAATTGTTGTCTGCCACCTTGTGGTGGATAAAATATGTTGTATATACTTTAAAATATTCTAGGATTTTAAAAAAAAAAGCCTGCTAAAATCAAAAGTTTTCAGAAGTTCTCAGATGCTTTAGTAATTATAAATATATAGTTTTTCAATTTCTGAGCAACTTTGCTTAAGATCTAGCAGTTCTAGAAATAATAAACCTAAAAAGAAACCAGGGGATGGAAACAGTACAGGTAATCCTCGAGTTACGAGCGTTCACTTAACACTCGTTTGAAATTATGTCATAAGCGTCCCCTAGTGCTTACGAGCAAGTCCCGCGGCCTCAGATCCAGTTGTCAGTGGCCTGGAAAAGGCTTTTGGTGCCTGGATCAGGCCACTGGAGGGCCGCGGAAGCGTCCCCCAGCCTCAGATCTGGGCAGCAGCAGGAACTGCGGCAGAGAGGAGACGGATCTTTTCCAGGTGAATCTGGCACAGCAGGAAGAGAGGGGGAAGCATGAGGTATCTTAGTGGGTCGGGAAGGCCTTTGGGGCCTATTCCATCACTAGGCCTTCTCCACTCTGAGATACCTCATGTTAGTCTTAACGAGCAAGGCAGGGAGTAATGGGCAGGCTCCATTGCACTCATAACTCGAGAACTACCTGTATTGTATGGATGAAATTTATATTCTGTGAAAGGTATTTTATATATGCCATTACAGGAAGCTACATTTGTACCTTCTCATTTTTTCTTTCTCTTAAAACAGTCTTTGGGATTGGCCCACGTTATTGTTTTAATCCATGAATTTCATTGTTTGTTGTATTCAGAGATAATTTATGTTTGTTCAGCATTCCATGTTCATATGAAAACATCACGGGGGTATATTCGTTTGTTGCTTTTATAATATATGGATGGATTCCCTTTGTGAGAAAATTAATCAAAGGACAGATCATAGATGACTAGGAATCACATAAAGCAGCGCTTAAATGCTGGGAAAAATATTTCATTAACACTGATTTTGAATTTTGACTTTGTATGGTTGGTCTAGGTCCTGCTTTTTCAAAATATGTATGTTTCTGTTCTTAACAGATCATTTGGGGGATTTGCTAAAGCTAAAAAAAATCAAGAAGAAATACAGGCACTTGCTGAAACTTTAAGGCGGGATGGAAGAACATTTCAAGAAAAGATCTATTATACTGCTGGTTATGACAGTCCATTTAAATTGCTGAACAGGCATAATGAAGTTTGGCTTATCAAAAAATGCTAAACTCTTTCCACAGCAATACAGATTATAAGTATTAACTTTTAAATGCTTAATTGAAAAGGGAGTTTTCCTTATGTATAAAAGCTGTGTTCCTGTATATTTTCTAACATATTTCTTTGCTTTTACCATTGCCTAAATTTCTATGCTGATATAAAACTGATCTTTTTTTGCTAAAATATGACTAATAGAATAATGTTAATAATTATTATTTTATAATATTTATAATCCTTGAAAGGGATGAATTCTGTTTTGTAGTAAATTAATTGAACTTTCTACAAAAACAGTAATGCTTACGCAAGACTTTTCCACCAAATTGGAGGCTTAATCTGGGGAGAAAGGAAATTTGAAAGGCAGGTAAAGAAACCTAGAATCTCTATGAATCCCATAGTTGTTTCTGGAGTTTTGTTTTCCTTCAGTAGGACGCAAACGGCTAAAGAGCATTATTTTACTGCTGATCTTTGCTGCAAAATCAAACATAGTGATCTTTTGATAGTCTTGATACACTAATTAAATCAAAAGCCATCTCAAGTCCCCCCCCCTTCCACAGAATAGGGAAAGGGACAGAAAACTGCACCCCTGTTGCATTACCAAATCCCACCATACCCCTTGGAGAAAAAAAATTAAAAGGCAGTACTCTTGAGCTGACCAAAAAAAGATTACTTAGGTAAGCAAGGAGATCCTATCTGTTTCACCCTTTAGCCCTTTTTGGAGCCCTTTGAAAATGTTATTTAAAAGGTAAGAAAGTTAATGCCAATCCCCAGCTGCCTCTTAAATGAAAAACTGGGCTGGGCATTTTTAAACAATTCTGATGTGTCCTGTAAATCAGGGGTTGCTGAATTTGGGAGGCACTTGTGGCCTGTTTAGGGGGCAGTTTTTAGGGTGAGAATGAGAGCAGCTTGCTTCAGAGGCCACCCATTGCCTTTCACCTCCTTAAATTATTGATTGTGGCCCTTAATTCTTTGAACTTTGTCTAGGCTTCTTCTGAATAATTATTGAATATATAGGTTGTTCTTGTTTAGCAATTGGTTCCGGCAACTCAATCATTATGTGAAGTGGTTGCTATGTGAAAACTGTGTAACTGCTTATGATTTTTCTTCAGCTTCCCTTTTTTCCTTACTCCCTCACCCTTTGCAATACTCATCCCAGTGCTAAAATAATTAACTAGAATGTAATTTGTATTTACATTCATTGGAGGAGGGATGGCAAGAGTAAGCAGGCACACAATGGGCAATAGACATTGAAAGGAATGCAGTAGGTTGGCTGTTGTGCTTGCAGCTGCTTAAGAGGCAAAGAAAAGCCTTCAATGTGAAACGGATTAGGATCTTGTCAGTTTCAGATAGCAAGGTAGTGGGCTGGCCTGTTCTAATCAAATTAATAAGGTTCACAGAGCTGACCTTTTTACTTGTAGTTAGGACTTTGAGGAAAGTTTTGTGCAGGGACAAAAGCAGTTCAGGAAATAAAGCTTGTTTAAGCAATCTGTAAAGGGGTAAGAACGGGAAAAAAAATCAAGTCAACCAAAGAACAATGCAGTATAGTGCTGACTGACTGTTGTAGCGAACACATGACTTGACAGATGCTGCAAAGGTTATAAATGCAGGCATTAGTCACAGTTACATTTTTGACACTGTTTTAACTTCAAAAGATTGCTTTTTGAGGCAAGTACTTAAGAACTAAGAAGGGATATCCTTAATTGGAAAACCAGATTCCAGTTGATTGTTAGATGCCAGAGTGTATGTAAATTATCATTCACATGCTATAAATATTCAAGAATATTCATGCCTGAAGGAGTAAATTATGCCGAGATTCAACTATCATTAGTTTGTGCTTTTCTTTTGGGTGAAAATATTTGACATTAGTAATAATAATAATAATAATAATAATAATAATAATAATAATAATAATAATAATAATAAATAATAATAATAATAATAAATAATAATAATAATAATAATAATAATAATAATAATAAGTTGGAAGGGACCTAGGAGGTCATCTAGTCCAACCCCCTGCTCAGGCAGGAAACCCTATACCATTTCGGACAAATGGCTGTCCAGTCTCTTCTTAAAAACTTCCATTGTTGGCGCATTCACCGCTTCTGGAGGCAGGTTGTTCCACTGGTTAATTGTTCTAATTGTCAGGAAGTTTCTCCTTAGTTCTAGGTTGCTTCTCTCTTTGGTTAGTTTCCACCCGTTTGTTTTTGGGTGAAAATATTTGTGAAGCCTTGAGGGCCATAAAGCAGAGAATTTAGCAGTTTAGTTCACTAGAGTTCAATGCTATTATCTTCCATATAGTATGCGGTAAGATTTTCTACCATGGAAACCTGCAGTATTGCTGATCCATGTTGCTATAATGAAAAGTAGCATAACTTGGTCAGATTATGATGGGGGTTTCAGACTCCTAGATTAATGCATCATTAATGTATGATTCCCACTTTTAGTGCGTTATAAGCTGTGCATTTTTAATCCCTGAAAGTTTGTAAGGCGCTATATATCTTTTTTTAAAAAAAGGATTAATGTAGAGTTCAATCCTGCTATTTCAGCTAACATTCTTATCACAGATCTCCCAGTTATCCTGTATTTTATTCAGTATAATTAATATGGAAAACTAGTGTTACTTCTCAATGAAATTGTATTGTAGGCTGTTTCTTCCTCATGTTTGTGTATACAGATAGTTGACTTGTGACCGGTAGCTTTGAAGTTATAACAGACCTCCCCAGCGCTACTTACAACCCAGATTTTAAGTTCCAGGGGCCACCTCCGTCACGACTGCATTTTGGAGCTCGGCAATCAGCCCACATTTACAGCCATTTGCAGCATCCCATAGTCATGTGATCACAAATTATGCTTTTTGGGGGGGGGGGAGAAATCAGTGTTTCTGGCAAAATGCCCATCGTGAATAATGATTTCACTTAATGACTGTGACGTTTGCTTAATGGCCATGGTTAATATCTTAATGACCACTGCAAAGCAGGTTGTAAAATTGGGAACGATCACATAATCTACCATAATTCTGGGCTCAATTACAGTTGTAAGTTAAGGACTACCCGTATAACAGAGAATAGCAAACAAAGAAAAATGTATACATACTAATTTTGTACCATAAACAATAGAAAGAGAAAATATTTCTTTGTACACATTAGTCTCTAAACTTAACGAGACATAAAACTCTCCCTTAAAATTTCATGCCCTCTTACAGTTGGCTTAATCATACCAAACACTAAAGGTGCTTTTTAGTACTAAACAGAAGAGGCAAGCCTGAAATTGGACATTGTTTGTAAGCAATTAAATGGTTTACTAATAAATACATACTCAAGTCTGCCTTTTAAAATCAAATAATTGTACTTTTACTAAGAACACACGATGTAATGTTTTCAAATTTAATTATATATGTTTTGGGGAATAAATCCTTATTTGGCAAGTATCCTATTTTGTAAACATCTTGGTTTAATAGGTATTGTATACATGCATTGGTTGAAGCACAAGGAAAAAAATTAATGAAAACAAGCATGTCTGTGTATGACTGATATATGTGCAAGTAAGTAGTTAAAAATATTCTGTTCTGAAGAACATCCCACGGAATTCCAGAATGTCAGTTTTCCCCAGACCAGCTGATCCAGATACAACAATTTCTAAGCCTGTGAACCTTGTTTTGGATTATATTATATTTCCCTATTATTGGTAACATGACATAGAATCTACACAACTGGTTCCATTTAACATTGTTTATTCCAAACTCATCCCTTTGATATGAATCACTGGTAGTGAAGTGTGATGGGGTATACTATGCCCTTACATACTTTCTGCTTACTTCAACCTCTGCTCTCTCCCTCTTCAATGCTTGCTTCAAAATCCCTGGTTTGAGAACAAATACTGTAGGCAGATTTTTCATAAGCCCATGTGTACAAATGTTTGAAAGCATTTCTAAGCATTGTAAGAGTGAGTACACATCGCTGAGTTTGAACACAATAACATAAGTAAGCTATTTTCTAAATAGCAATAGAGTTTTCAGACAGACAGGCAGAGCAAGGTGGATACATCATTTCAAAGTAGTTAATTTTATCTGAAATTTTGGAACTAAAATGCAGTTATTTTGAAAAAAACATACCATGCTGCTGTATCCTCACAGCAACCAGTGTGTTTTCAGAAACGATGGGCATTACTGCAAATGTCAAAGCTACTCTCCCCATAAAAACTTAAAAGTGAAATACATGGAATGGTTTCTTTTTTTCCTTTTGGATCTTTCTGATTGTGTGGATTATCTCTTAAGAGGAAAATAAACATATAAGAGATAAACACTATCTCAGGGCTTTTCAACCAGTGGTACGAGTACCACCTGTGGTACATTGGCACCTTGCAGGTGGTACGCAACCATCCTAGAAAAGTAGCGGGGGAGGGGAATGAGCTGAACCGGTGGCAACACTGCACAAGCCTGAGCGAGAGACGGCTGGAGCTGCAGGGCTCAGCGGAAGCATCAGGATCAGTGCCACTTTCCAGCTGATCGGCGCTTCTTCGGGACTGTCAGGGCTCAGTGGAAGCGCCAGGATGAGCACCAGGCTCCACCTGGAGCTCGGCGCTGATCCTGGTGCTTCTGCTGAGCCCTGAAGAAGTACCAATCAGCTGGAAAGCAGCACTGATCCTGGCACTTCTGCTGAGCCCAGAAGAAGCACCGATCAGCTGGAATGTTGCAGCATCTCCAGGGTCATGTGATTTACATTCAGATGCTTGGCAACTGATTCATATTTATGACGGTCACAGTGTCCCAGGGTCATGTGAAGTGACCAAAACCTGCTGCAACCACCCAGCAGATGGGGAATAAAAACCAAACACCCCGCCACCCCACCCCCACTGCCAATCCTCAACAGATATGCCTCACAACAATGAAAACCTTGGACAGGAGGAAGAAAGCTGCCAGGTGGGCAGGCAGGTGTCTTGCTCGGCTGTGGCTTGGGGGGCACTTTTTTCAGTGCCATTGTAACTTCGAACAGTCACCAAGTGAACTGTTGTAAGTCGAGGACTGCCTGTACTTCATCACTTTTTCCTTTTTTTTTTTGTCATCAAGTTTTTGACACCTTGCTAGGCGACTGGTGGTACTCGGATATTGCCATATCCTAAAAGTGGTACAATGGGTGAAAAGGTTGAAAAGCCCTGCACTATCTGATAAATACATTTTAATGATAGCATCTGGATTTCCCAATATGATCCTTTGCTAATGCTCATTTAAGGAGATGCATGGAAACAGAATGGTCATTAATTTGAGTCACAAAATGACAAATGGCAGCCTTGTTTATTAAAGCAGAATCACAGCACTGTCTCCATCTTCAGTTGAATGAAGACCCCTGAAATTTACAGTATTAACAATATAGAGATGGAGGGCAAAAAGGGAGTCAAGTGTTTTTCATCAAAATAAATTATCTACATACAGGATTTTTCTTAACATCTAAAAATGTAAAAATTCCAAACTCTGAGAAAACAAGAATTACCTTAAGAACTTCCATTATGTACAAATATTATAAAAACCTTACAGACTATCAACTTATGCAAAATTCCTTTTCAAAAATTAAAAGTTTCTTTACAAAACTGTGAGCAAAACTGCAGTTATTTTGTCTGTAGTTTTCTCTACAAGGAAGAAAATGTTATTTTGTAAATCAATGATAAATTCTTAATAAATGTTAAGTCTTCTAAATGAGCAAATGTTATTTCCCTAGAAGGAGGAAATGCTGGCTATTCCTAAAAAGTAAAAGTAATTGTAGTGCACTCTTTGGTAACAAAAAGACAGTTACTGTTGAAACTTTCAAGTGATATGTTATTCAAAGCTCTTCTCCCTTTTGACAAAAGTTGACAACAATACAATTCCACACAGTTTAATAGAAAAGGAAAACGTATTCTTCACAGTTCTATGGTGTATCTTTTCCAATGTTGCATTTATTTTAAAATCAAAACATTAATGGCTGCTTATTATGTTTCCCCTGAATCTATCTACATCCCCATTATAAGCCTGCAACTATTTATTTTAGGTCTCCAAAAGAATACCTCAAACTTTATTCAGAGAAACCACAGAGAATAAATGGCTTCTGAAAACCAAGCAAATGGATTGTAACATGGCTGCACAGCAGTCACTCCTGTATCACAAGTGTTTCTTTTTCCCCAGTTGGAACTTTCAAAATTTAACCCAAACTCTTGTTATATTATTAAGACATGGTTAAATCATAAGAGGAGATCACAGATCACATCAGAAGCAGCAGTGGGACAATGCCAGTCCTGCTAACTAATAGGCTGCACATTCCTTTCCAATAGTCCCTGCTGAAAGTTTACTAGGTTTTATAAATATAATACTTAAAAACTTACTTTCACCTGTACCACAGAAGCTTCCCGTTTTTTGTTTTTTTTTGCAGGCTTACTTAGTTTTTTACACCCTCAAAAAAGAAAAAGAAAAAACATGCTCAAACTAGAATCCAAGAACTGTCATTACTATTATTGTTGTTATTAAGGCTTTAATGGAGAGGTCTGGTTACTAGTGTCTTCCAAACAAAAAAGTCAACCCAATTATGCTGAACAGAATATCAGTATTGCATCATCTAAACAGCATCCCATACACAAATTCACCCTAAATTTTACTTAGACTCGGTGCCTTATTTGTTACATATGAAAGTCTAGCCTTTTAAATCTCATTTAAACTTTTTTTAGTTTAAATGATAATATATATATATATAAAAATGAAGGGCATTCTGTGTTACCCATTAAGATAACAAGTCCATGAGCATGTTGTCATCCTCAGTAGAATCTCTATTTTCATTAAAATCTGCATCATCACTCTCAAATACATCAGGCGGTTCCTCTTCTGAAAACCTGCGAGTTCTACTTTCTCCAGATTCAACTACTTCTACATCACCCTCACAGATGACCGTCATAGGGCTACTCTGGATCCGGTTTCGAGCGCTATACTTGCTACTTGCAGCAGAGGGTGGGGTTCGAGATCTGCCGTATCTTGTGCTGGATAGAGACAGACTCCTCGGCATCAGGCCTTCACTCTTGGCCCATTCCTCCTGTGGCCTTTTGGTCTTGGTAGGAGAAGCCACCATGCTCTCACTCAGCTCTCCGGTAGAATCTACTCTAGCCCTTTGAAATCTTGGGTCTGTATTCTTTAGCATCTCGGCTGCTGACATACGAGAACTGGTGTCTGAACGGCTCCCTTTTTTAAGAAGCAATGCTTTGAAGTTGTCGTTGCTGGTGCTGCTCTTGCGAATATTTCTCTGAATTGATCCTGCCTGCCTCAGGGAAGGCAAGTTTGGGGAAGAACCAGTAGGTGTGACTGGGGGCGATGGAGAATGATTTGGAGCGTGATCATCCTCAGAATCTTTGCGGCCAAGGATTTTCCTTTTGGATCTGTGATTGTGAGTTGGGAAAAAAAACAGGAAAAAGTTACTAGCCTCTCATATAAAAACTTATTTTGCATCCCAAGATGAAAAAGATAACAAAGTAGTCCTCTGCCTGCCTCAGATAGCAACCACAATTACAACAGTGATGAAAAACTTTACGACTACTCCTCATATTTACAACCTTCCGTAAAGCAAGGGTAAGCTGAAGTACATTCGTAAGCACAGTCATGGTTTCACTTAATGACCACTTTGCTCGATGATCAAATGGTTGGTCCCAATTATGGTCGCTAAATGAGGACTTCTTAAGAAGGAAACATATGAGTACGGTAACTAGTGGAAGTGTATTTTTCGAAAAAAGGAATTATACGCCATATTTCAGATCTTAAATCATTTTTAATTCCCCGGGCACAAAACTAAATCAAAGTGCATGCAATTTAAAAGTTTCTTCTGTTGTTTATTTTGTAAAACAAATATTTGAATCTTGCTAAACATTACTTTTAATGAACACATATTTGCAATCGAATAATCTCTTCCAAATTGAGTACAGTTTACAAAATGCATGCTAATATGCATTTCGCAATGAAATTGCCATGGGAATGGAATTAATGAAATCAAAATAAAATTTATAAGCTCTGTGGGAAACTATCAATCCATCAAGCACTTCACTTGCCTATCAAACAGCAATTAGCAAATTGGACACAGTGTTTAACTATTTAGCATTCAACTGACTACATTTATGGACACATGATAAAAAGGATATTCATTTAAAAAAAAGGATATGCATGGAAGGAAACCCCCCCTCAAAATGTAGTTTAAAACAGGGAACAAATATGTGATTATCGGAGTTGTATTCCAACACAAACTATAATACCAAGCATGTGTTAATGCTATCCAAATACACAAACATCTTTAAAGTAACTCAGAAATAATTATTGGAATAAGTATGGCATAGTTTCTGGTCTCTGCTGCATTATACTTGAATTACTGTTTGCATTTAGTTAAACAGTGTATGCAACCCACCAGTATTATTCCATCCCTGGAAGCAGTACCCATCGACAGGAGAGGAGGGTAGTGATTCAAAATGGCTAAGCCTCCAGATAAAAAAGAAGGGAGGGGAGAGCTGTAGCAGAGTGGTGGAGAAGAAAGCTGTGCTATGGTTTTTGGAAACGTGATACTATGATTGTAGGTTCTAACCAGCATATTTCTGATTACATATTCTGCCTCTAAAGAAAACTAGGTTGTATATTTTTACGCACTTGCAGTAGTATACATCAGCAAGAAATGTTAAGAGAAACGGAAAAATGTTCTTTTTCCATATTCAGTTTGACAGGAAGAACAATTTGTTAATAGAGAATCAGAAAAGATTGGAAATGCAGATTGTATCACGATAGCAAATTGAACAGTGGACACATTCACAGATAAATACACATATATAGCACTATGTTGTAATATGAAAATCGGCAATAATGCAAACTGCTGTTCTCTATTTCTGTCTTATACAAATTAACTAAATGACACCTATTGTTTTATATATCTGTGCAATACAGACCCCCTTAGAGAGCAGCATCCAAAAAATTAAACAACTTAAGAATACAAAACCATGGAATTTAAATTCACTTATGAAAGTGTAGTTTTTTCCCCCCTAAGGCCTCCATTATGGATCATTCTTTCTCTCTTGCATGACAAGAAGCGTCTCCTGATGAGCGTGTATAAAATCTATGACTAAAAGAATAATGTAATATAATATAATATATATAATATAGTATAATATAATTGATTTTAACTTGACCACTAGACCAAACTGGCTCTATTTCTGGTCTGGTTCTTTTCTTTTCTTTTTGTAATATATTTTATTTATTTCTGGTCTGGTTCTTATTCATATTAGCTTGAATGCCTGAAGAGTTATTTTATGTACCTAAAAATTTGTAATGTCAAAGGGAATTGTTTACTTGCTTTTATTCTTTTTATTCCTTCATCACATTACAGTCAGTTTTCTTTTTTCTTTCTTCCTTTTTTGGGGGGCAGGGATCCTCAATTTTCTCACTACATGTAAGACAAATTCTTTTTTGCAGAATTAAAATTGACGATTGTGTCAATTATCCCAAATTTAACCCGAATAACTATCATGAAATCGTATAGTCCCAGCAGCAAAACTGTTTTTGCTGTCATGCTTTAACATTGCAAACAGCAACATCTACAGGACCTTGCTGCTGTCACCAGATTAATGAAAGCTGGGTGATAGTATTGTGCTAGAACTTTACCCTTATGGGCTCTGCAAGTGATGGCATCATGAATGGGTAAAAGGGTGGGCCTTGCATAATGACACTGCTGTCATCAAATGATCCCTAACTACGCTTCCCCCTGTAGACACAGGAAGACACTGTTGATTGCAAAATATAAGTTGGACATGATTTGAAGTTATCTTTACAATGGTTACTATCCCTATGAAAGTCAACATGCTGCCACACTAGGACATAACAAGAAAAATCTTTGTGCCTTGAGTAACTAAAGTGTTGTAGTTCCTGTGCCTATGAATAAAAGCAGGCAACAACTTGGTGGTGTGTTATGTAGTCACTTTCAATTTTGCTTTGAAACCAGTTCAATAAATGGCAATAAATGACCACTAGATGGAACCAATGCTTCATGCTAGATACTACAAATTGCTAATCCTGTACTTTCTCTATTGAAGTTCTCCTGAAGCATTATTAGAGGGTGTTGGCTTCTAAAAATTTATCACCAAAGAACCTTCCTGTAAAAATAATGTTTACATTGACTTCACCCAGCCTTCCTGAACCTGAAGCCCTGCAGATGTGTTGGACAATAACTCCCTCAAAAGATGTTCATAATTCAAATCATTTGGGGCAAGCTTAAAATAGTTGAAATGTGTACCTATAATCATTTCCCCTTTTTAAATTAAGAAAGAGTAGGGTTTGTCGGTATTGCACATTTCAGTTGATAAAGCAGCATGTTATCTTTAATTAGACTATGACAATCTCTATTCTGGCTATTGTCATATGTTTTCCCTTATGATGGTTATATTGTGTTTACTTGCCAGTTTAAGCCAAGCTTGCCATGAAGCATTAGAGTTGAGCCTCTGTCCCAAACTGCACCAGGAGTAAAAAAAGAGATGGAGGGGATGAAGAGAAAGAAAAAGATACACAGAAGAAGCAATAGTATATGTTAAATCATGTAGACTGAGACAAGAGCACAATCAAACAAGGAGTCACCTGGCACCAAGAAGAGACCATGGCCGATCATGTAATAAAACATGATTTTGTGGGTAGGAGAGTTAAATGTTTAAATGAATGAAACGTTATTGTAAAGCAAATGAAAGATTTTACCCCTACATACAAGGAATGTGGGACGTGGATGCATTAATTAATGAAAAACGAAAGCACAAACATGATGATAGAAGAAACATACTGAAGAAACTGCAAAGGACACCCAACGAAGTAATCTTTTTTTTTAAAAAAAAACACGATTTAAGCAGTACCTGTGAATGGCTGCAAAAAGATCCTCAGTTGTCCTTGGTCGACTTGGCACTGCCATTATCTCACTGCCTTCCCCATGGCTTGGGCTCTGTAGCAAAAAGCTGGTTGCTGCATCTGCTTCAATCGCTTCAGCTAAAATACGAGGGTGAAAACAACTAAGCAAAAAATGTAATCTAATGCAATAGTTGACAGAATGACAAATGAACAAATGCAGTCTGTACATGTGTCACAAACTGTACAACAACAATCGGACCTGTCTTTTAATAATGTTCTCGGTAACTGGCTTTTACTGGTTTATTACTAAATTTAAAACCCTGCTGAAAGTTTTGGGATAGAATCAAAGTGGAACTCTTCCCCCAATAAAGAAATCATCATCCCCTTGATTAAAAACATACACCTTTGCGCCAGGATTTTTTTTTTTTAAGAATAGGGATAAAGCTAATAAAATCCTATCTAATAAGGTTTTTTTTTTAAAAAAGAAAAGAATTAGATAATAATTTCACTACCCATAGTAATCCGAGCTTTTTGGTTTTCCTTAAGACTAGTATGAAATTAGATTGATGGCATATGATCTTTACCATATACGATGTAAAAAATCTTTACTGTTCTTACGATGTGACTCTCCACAATTCCAGATGTGATTGGTGACTAATAAGACTAGGTGAAAAGACAAAAACACAGTGGAAAAAAACTTACAACTTTCATCCCCTTGAGAAAACTGCTTCTCTGCTCCAGAGATGCTGTCTACATTTCTGTCTGGACTGCTTCGCTCACAGGAAGAAACCGGCTCCTCCTGCCGGGGCTGCAGAATAGAGACCCTGCTTTCACAGGAGGTAGGACTCGCAGCTCCTCCTTCGGGGACCGGATCGCTAGACTCCATTTCATAGGAACCAAATCCATCTGTAGTAGAATTGTCAACCTGGCTGTACCATGCAATTTCAGCATCCTTCATAGTTGTACTTGGAATGCTTCTTGCTGTTTCACCCACAGCTATTTTCTCCGTTGTAACATCAGGCTGTGGGGGTGGCACAAACAGGAACAGTTTGGGTTTCTTTGAAACAGGCGGTGGCTTCTTGTTTGGCAATAGATCCTGAGGCTTGCTGAGAAATCCAGATTGTTCCTGAAGGGATGAACATGCAAGATTACCACAAGGGTCTTGGTTCTGCACCGAAGCTTCTTCAGCTTTGTCTGGTTGTGATTCTCTGGCAAATGAGTTAATAATTGTGCTTATTGCATTTCTAGGCATTTTAGCACTGGTAGGCTCAGACCTTCTGCTGTTTGGGCTACAAACAGGTGATCTCTGGGCTTCATCCCCAACTGCACCCAGCATGTCACTGTATCCTCCTGACAAATGTGATCTGAAAGGCAACTCAGCAGAAAAAGAATCCTGGTTTTTCTCCTGAGGACTTGCTTTGGAAGCAGACTCAGCTGACTGCTCTACCTCTGATGTCATAGCTTTCTTCACTGACCTCAGCTGTACCCTCTGGAGAGCTTCAGTAGTTATTAGTGGCATTGCAGGCCTTGGGAGAGCATCCTTATTTAAGGGCCGTTTTCCATTGTTGCAAGAAGCTTCCAGATTACATTTCTTGAAAGAGTACGGTACAGATTTATGGCCATCTCTCATGAATTTGGGATCCAAGGGTGGGGCTGGTGGAGGAACTGAAGTTGGAAAAGTGGATGGGGGGTGCTGAGAAGAATCAGGAAGCAATGAATGAGAAGAATGGTTTGAAATATCTTGATTATTGAACCATCCAATACTTTGAGGAAAAGAGGCATTTGTGACAACATCTGGGGGAGGAGGTGGAAAACTTGGTGATTCAGGTGGCTGAGGAACATCAGTAACATCTGCTAGGAGAGGGGGTGGGGGAGGAAGAGGAGGATCATTGGAATCTGAAGATACTAGTGAAGATGATGTAACCGGAGGGAAGCTCAGGGTAGGATCAGGTTTCTTCATGGTCCCTTCAGCAGATGTATTTGATGAGAGAGATGTGGAAGAGGAAGACACTGAAACTGAAGACAGTAGACTTGATTTTCTTTCAGGCACTCTAGGCTTCATCTTGGACTTAGCATTTCCTGTTGACATAGACTTTAGGACGACAGGCACTGGTGTAAGTGCTGTGGGTGTGTTGGATTGGCTGGAATACCCACTAGACGGCGATGTAACTCTCTGTGATTTTTCTGGAGAAATAGCTTTTGTTTTGGCCACTCCAGAGGGCACTTGCGGTATAGAAGCCCTTGACTCATTACTAAGGTGACTAACATTATAATCAATTAGCTTTGGTAAAGTATTAGAGGAACGAATTGCTGCAGATTTTAAATGATCATCTGGAGTCCCAGGATAATCACTGTAGTAACACCACTGGTCAGTGTATTCTGATTTGATGCTACTTGTGTCACTCTGGGCTGGTGTGACTGCACAGATGGAATACATGTTCAGTCCTGTAGCAGACATCATGCTGCTACTGGCACTCACAGTGCTCTGGCTACGAGACCGCAGCATCCAAGGATCATCATAATCACTGCAGGGACTTTGTGATGGTGAGCTGCCATTTTTGCACTGGAGGTTCAGTTGCAAGGAATGTTGAAGGCTAGCTATCAACTTATCGTCCAGTACTTGTCCACTAGACTGAGGTTTATTCTTGGGGATTCTCCTAAGAGAATCTGTTCTGGATGGTGGGAGAGGTGGTTTTTTTGCCTTTTTAAAGGAAATGCTACGTGTGAGTGACTTGTCATTGGAACTTGCAAAATCTTCCATAGATTTCTTCTCGGTTCTAGCAAACACATTGATGACACTATGCCTGGGGTTTCCAAAACCATTTTCACTGCAGCTTTTAACAGACTGGACATCTGAATCCACATGCATAGAAGGGTTACAGATATCATTGTCCACAGAATATAAAGAGTGTGAGTCTTCTTTGGCTAAGACTCTTTCAAGGGAGTCAGGGCTGGAGCAACCTGGAATGGCACGTTTTGACATGTGTAAAGTGGTGTCATTTCCAGAAGGTTTGAATCCACATTGCTTTGCGTTTTGTTTAACTTTGTCCTGTATGTTGTTCACAGTGTAACTTGATTCACTTCTACCGTTGATGTTGTGAGAATGGTTTGAAAAACGGTGATCATTACTAAAATTATAGGTCACACTTTGGGGGACACTTTCTGTAGTTCCTGTATCACAAAAGGATACAAACACCATTACACCATTGGATGAGATAGTGGTGTCTGAGGAATGTGAGTGATGTGTTGAGCTGGTGTCACTCCAGGTGCCATTAGAAGAACGACGTTGCTCTTTTGCATTTATTATACCATTGCCGACAAGATTGTCTCTAGGCTTTAGATACAAAGAGTTCATCATTTTCTTATCTAGTGTCTCGGAACTCTCTGCTGGATTGTTATTCATAACATCTGAAGAGGATGATAGGGAAGCATTTGGTGTGATGATGGTAGAATATGCAACATGTGGAGAGATCATACATGCTGTACTTTCTGTTTTTCCATTCTCTGAGTTTAATTCTTGAGATTTTGGCCTCTGTAGCCCATCTATCCTACAGCCATTTCTCATATCATCTATTCTTTCATTTCCTTGCCACACACCTACATGATGTAACAAAGGTCCACTTTCTGTTGACTTGGAGAGGCTATGCCTACGTTCAAGTAACTGTAGGGACACTCTTGCTCCAGATCGAGGTAGACTGTGAAAGCCCAGGTCATTATTTAGGCGAGAAGTAGACATGACTCCAGCAGAATCACTCATCACAGACATGTTTCCAGAAGAACTGGAAAACTGTGACATCTGGGCTGCAATTCCTTGACCTTTCTGTGCACGTATTCGCCTAACTGAGGGTGGCACCACTTTAACTTCTTCTGTCTGACAGCTGGAGTCTTTGGTGCCACACTGCTGCATAGAAGACTGATAGCCCTCAAGTCTTCCTAGTGTAGAATAATGATCAGGGACACATAATGAATGGCCACGGATGTCACATTTGCCATTGCCAACTGTAGATATTAAAACAAAACTGTTAGAAAAATAAATATACTGCATTGTTATAATTGCATTTGAAATGTGTCCATTAATAAAAAGTTTATACAGAACTCTCATTTAGTTTTTACCATACAGGTTCCAATATGTTCAGGTATTCCTAATAAAAGGCTCTTGGTATGCTTATATTTGCATTATATATTATATATGGGATATATTAGGATTTTTAAAAAGATGAAAATAATTGTTATCAACTAATGCATAAAGACAGCCAAACAGCAGTCTAGTAGGTTCCTTATGTGCTTCAGTTCAAGTATATTTTAAATCATACCAGCTGGCACTATTAGCAGAAATGAAAATGGATTATTTTGTGTTGTGATATCTCAAGAAAGAAAGTATCAAATATAAGTTGTTTTCCAACCCCTGTATTTTCTAAACTCTTTCCTCACTGTAATTAGCTTCCACTCACAAACAAGAATGAATCCTACTAAATTCATTTAAAATACTAAAAATTATTTTATGCCAACATTATTCTACTTAAATTGTGCAATCCTTTTTTTAGGAATTCAGTGCTTTATGACAAAACAACACTTAAACCCTAATACTGATTTTTTAATCAAAATTAACATGAAATAAAATATATTTAGAAGTTCTTAAAGAGATGGGAGTATCAGACCATCTTATTTGTCTTTTGAGAAATCTATATATGGGTCAAGAAGCAACAGTGAGAACTGGACACTGATTGGTTCAAAATTGGGAAAGGAGTCCAGCAAGGCTGTATTCTGTCACCCTGCCTATTTAACTTATGTGCAGAGCACATCATTAGAAAGGCAGGGCTAGATGAATCAAAAGTTGGATTTAAGATTGCTGGGAGAAATATCAACAACCTAAGATATGGAGATGATACCACTCTAATGGCAGAAAGTGAAGAGGAACTAAAGAGCCTCTTGATGCAGGTGAAGAAGGAGAGTGCAAAAGTTGGCTTGAAACTCAACATTAAGAAAACCAAGATCATGGCATCCGGCCCTCTCAATTCCTGGCAAATAGATGGGGAAGAAATGGAGGTAGTGATAGATTATATCTTCCTGGGCTTCAAGATCACCAAAGATGGGGGCTGCAGCCAAGAAATTAAAAGACGCTTGCTCCTGGGGAAGAAAGCTATGGCAAATCTAGATAGCATACTAAAAAGCAGAGACATCACGCTGCCAACAAAAGTATGTATAGTCAAGGCCATGGTTTTCCCAGTTGCAATGTATGGCTGTGAAAGTTGGACCATAAGAAAGGCTGAGCGCCAAAGAATGGAGGCCTTTGAACTATGGTGCTGGAGAAGACTCCTGCGAGTCCCCTGGACTGCAAGGCGATCAAACTGGACAGTCCTAGAGGAGATCAACCCTGACTGCTTTTTAGAAGGCCAGATTCTGAAGTTGAAACTCAAGTACTTTGGCCACCTAATGAGAAGGAAGGACTCACTGGAGAAGAGCCTAATGCTGGGAGAGATTGAGGCAATAGAAGAAGGGGACAACAGAGAATGAGGTAGCTGGATGGAGTCACTGAAGCAGTAGGCGTGAGCTTAGATGGACTCCAGAAGATGGTAGAGGACAGGAAGGCCTGGAGGAATGTTGTCCATGGGGTCATGATGGGTCGGACACGACTTCGCAACTAATAACAACATGGTTAGATCATACTCTGGTATGCTTGAGATTCTCTTATGCCATACACCCCTCCGGAGGGAGGCTTGACCCATTCAAGCAGTCATTTCCTGATGACTGATAGACTCTAATGGATTCCAGAGGGACTGGGGGACATCCCGGGGGGTTGCTGCATGATCCTGCAGAAGCTTTGGTAGCATATCCTGGAAAAACAGCTCTGGGCAAGACTGCACCTATGTGGCCTCTCTTGACTCATCCCTCCTGACTCTCCTCATGATTGATGGAGGAGTAGTGGGCTTTGAAAGAGGTTAAGAGACTCCTAGAGCACTGCTGGATGAAAACAAAGGATAACTCCGATTGGACATGACGTACAGCTGCTATTAAGGCCTACCTTATGTCACTAAGAGTAGCGAAACCACATTACTTTTCTGTCCTGATTGTGCCCACAGGGTATCACCCTGTGGCCCTGTTCTGGGTCACCTAGTCCCTCTTGGAATAGGGGGGCTCGGATAATCATCTTCAGGACTTGCAGAGGAATTTGTTCAACACCTGATGGACAAATTCATGGAATTCATGGACAAATTCAATGGAATTCATGTCAACGATGTCTGACAAGAGTGGAATGGGCGTAGTGCAACCATCCTTGTTCTCTTGATCTCTCAGCAGCCTTTGATACCATCAACCATGGTATCTTTTGGGTCAGGCGGGGCGGTTTGAGGCTAGGTAGTGCAGTTTTGTGCTGGTTTGGTTCCTTTTGCTAAGGCCAGTACCAATCAGTAAGGGACTAAAAGGTCCAGCCCACAACCTCTCCTTTGTGCCATGCCACAGGGTCAATACTCTCTCTACTCTTTTTAACATCTACATGAAGCCGCTGAGTGATTGCCACTTGTAGAGGCAGGGAAGGTGAAAAGGGGGTATATCTTCCAGAGGCATCTGATTGGCCAGTCTAAGGAACAGAATCTTGGATTAAAATGTGCTTTGATTTAATCCAGCAGGACACTTCTGAAGTGAGTAATTACAATAATTGTTTAACTTGTAATTATTAGTGTATGGATTTAGATTTTTTTCCCTGGCAACATCTGAGGATTGAATCACATTCTCACTTTCTATATTCATAAATTATCCTCTTGACTGAACATGAAATTATATTCACTGTAATTTGCTGTTAAGCACTCTCTAGGCAATGCATGCATAGAGTTCTTTTCCTATATGTCATACAAGTACTGATTCCTGATGATTAAGTATAACATACCTGTATTATGTTTGTGCATTTATTTTTTCTTTCTTTAATTTAAACATTCATTTCTCCAAATAAGATCCATTTAATTGGAGTTTCTTATATTAACTCTTGAAATTTGAAAATAATTTCTTGGTTCTAATAATTTTATCCTCCTCTAGAGATCCCTTTCCATTGGCAAAAAAAATAGGATGAAGACATGTACACACATGAAAAGTATAATTGTGTAACCTTGTGTAATTTAAAAATGTGCTTTAAAAAGCCCTGCTCAGCTTTCATTGTGGTAGGTTTTAGAAGTTCTGGAGGGATCACTGGCTGTGTATCTTGGAAAAGGCAATTACAAGCTATCTTTTCTCCAATGCAATATGCAATGCATATTCTAAATGGGTTAGAAGTAAGTGGTCATCAGAAAATTGAACAGTTACTAGCACAGAGAAAGTAAACAGAAGAGGAAAGAATAATAAAAAGGTAGTGTTTCACATGCAGAACTCTACATTATGATCACAAGCTCTCATTTATAAAATCACTGTAGCTAACTGTGCGTGAAAGGATTGGATTTCATGAACTTCAGTTCCTCCTATCTCTGTTGAAGTTAGAAGCACTTTAAAAATGAAATATGATGTTGCATGAGGACCTATCTCAAGAGATGATAGAGAGAAGCAAAATTCCAACTGTGCACAATTTGGATGTAGCTGTAGATGTAATTTAAATGTTTTAGTTGTTTGCTCATATTCACCTTTATTTAGCACTGATTTCTGCTAAAATCATAAGCATCTTCTCTTATTTTTTTAATTGTTAGAAATTCCAGTTTTGATATATGTACAGTTGTTCTTTGCACGAAGTATAAAGCCATTGCAAAAATTAGTCTGAGACCCCAAATCACATAATGCTTTTTATCATCTACAAAATTTTTAAATTAATTTTTTATGTGAGAACTCTGATTATATCCAACTTCACTGTTGGTATCATTCAAATGATGTTACAGGTAATCCTCATCTTATGACCATTTCTTTAATGATGATTTGGAAGTACAATGGCCTCAAAAAGAGTGCTTTATGGACTGTAAAGTACTTTCATCCATTGCAAAAATTTGCACCATGCCCATATTCATGTGATGATGTTTTTAATATTTTGATCTGTTTAATTTGCAGTTTTAATGTGATTTTATATGCTGTTTTAACATTTGATTGGGAGCTACTCAGAGTTTGTTAGAAGATGTGCAGCTACATGTTTTTAATAAATAATCAGAGAATGTTGATTTGGGAAAATTATAAATGGGCTAAGGGTCTAGATGGATTTTAAATATATTTTTGAAATTAATTATAAGAGTCCTTTGCATGAAAAAAATGCTGTTGTTTTGAACTCTTAAAAAAAGCACAATAGGATGGGACTTTGAAGGTGGGATACTAGAGGGAATGAAACAGAACCAAAGATTACAATTAAAGGGGAAGAACACTTAAATATGATGTAATGATACAGAATAGGGCAAAATATATAATGTTGGATTTATTGAAGGATATTTGTGAAAAATGGCCATAGAAATTCACTTTAAGCATATTTGCATTTTGCAGGTAATTCTTGCCTAACAGTCATAATAGAGTCCAGAATTTCAATCTTAAGTCATTGCAGTAATTAAGTGAGACACCAATATGACCATTTTGCTTGACAACTGCAATCCCAGCTCTCCCAGTTGCGGTCATTACATAACCACATGGGTCGTTAAGCAGACAAAGCAAGAGAGCTGCCTGTGAAGAAGGGCAGGCAGCTCTTTCCATAGAAGAGAATTCCTTTCCTGGACATGCCGAATGGGACTTGGATTTTTCTAAGTAACCTGAATAACTTTCCTATACTGGATTTACAAAGAGACTTGTTAAAAATTCTGTGAGAACAGAGAAAGAAAGAAATGAAAGGAAATGAAGTTCTAGGACATCATTTGAAGGAATTAAAGATCAAGATGGTTAAAAGAGAAAGGAATATAAAGTTGATTTACTTGATTAAGATTAAAATAGCTATGTTATTATCTCTGCTAACCCTTAATAGACTTTTTGCTGATCAGAACTGAACAACGAAGTTTTAAGACAAGATATATATCTTATAGATATATCATATATATCATATAGATAAGATATGAAATATAAGAAGAAGAGACAATTCGTTGTATTTTAACAGAAAGTGACAAGTTACTAAAATTGTTTGTACTTGTTCTCATGGAGGAGAAGACATTTCTTTATATATTTCTTTTCTTTACTATAGTCTTATTTTTTCTTTCTTTTCTATTTTTCTATTTCTTATTTTTTTTTCTTTTTAGTTTGTATTAGGTTTTCTTTTTTAACTGTAATGTTTAATAAAACTATTATTAAACAATCTTATAAAGCATAAGTATTTATTATTGAGATAGGTGGCTATATAAATTGGTTAAATACATAGTCATATATACTTGAATCTGCATCATATTTTTAAAGACTTATTATAGGTAATCCTCGACTTACGACCATAATTGAGCTCAAAATTTCTGTTGCTAAGTGAGACAGTTGTTAAATGAATTTTGCCCCATTTTATGAACGTTTTTGCCACAGTTGTTAGGTGATTCACTACAGTTGTTAAGCTAGTAACACGATTGCTAAGTAAATCTGGCTTCCCCATTTACGTTGATTGTCAGAAGGGTGCAGAAGGTGATAATATGACACTGCAACTGTCATAAATAGGTACCAATTGTCAGGCATCTGGATTTTGATCACAGGGCCGGTTGTAAGCATGAAAAACATTCATAAGTCACTTTTTTTCAGTGCTGTTGTTAACTTCGAACAGTCACTAAATGAACTGTTGTAAATCGAGGACTACCTGTATTTTACTTTTAAGAAGGGAGATAGTTAGTAGAATAACTATAACAAAATGATCCTCATTATATGTTAGAACTTGGAGAAATGTTTAGGTAACAATAAAACTGGCAAGTTATATTAATGTACTTAATACCTATTCAATAAAAACTATAATTTTCACATTAAAGCTTTCCTACTCAAGATGGCCTTTCTATGTACCATATAATAGAAATGTATGTATTCATTCAACACATAATCTGAAATGGGAAATTTTCTGGAGGAAAACTATCATCTGTGAAATGGCCTTGAAAATTAGCAAATTTTCCTAGTCCACGAGTAACAGTATCTACATGTGTTTTATTGCATTTCCTTGCAACAAACCATAAGCATTTCCAGGGTGAAATGGGAATTTTAATTTCTTGGTGAGAGAAAAATAATAAGACAAAGAATGCACTCACTATTCTTTCCTAGTGACCAGCCATACATTCATTTGGAACTTTTAAGAGGCTATCAGACTGTATTGGTTTCATAAGCGCAATTAAATGTTATGAGTTTAGTTACGATAAGCAATTAATTGAAATGGAATACAGTTCTGATGAGCCATACCTAGCTCTCTTTGGATGTTGTCAGGGATTCCTGTAATAGTCTTTCTCCTTTTCATTTTCTTCGGCCGCCTTACCACAATGTCTGTGTAAACCAAAGACCTCCGTATGCTGGCTTGGCGGTCAAAATTCTCCCCTGATGTACAGTAGAACAAGCAAAGCACCATTATTTTCAAGCACGCTGACATCATGCACTTTCTTCCACTTGCTTATAGTAGAAATGAAGAAAAGGCATTAATATATGATGTTAGCACTGTCATACAAAGCAGGAACAGATACAGCACTCTGCAACTGTAAGGCTTAAAATGTAAAAAATTAAATGCCTATATGGATAATCTCTTGGTGATTTGATCTCCTGTGATTTTTGGATAATCTGGGGTTAGCAAGAAGAATGCCTGGGTTATCAGGTGTCAGCACTAGAAAAAATTGCTGACCCTTGTACTCAGTCATGTTTAGTAGAATCTGTTAAAACTTGTTGGATTCACAAAACACTGTAAGTCATAAATATAGACATGTAAACCATAGTGTTTACATAGCATCCTAAGCCAAATTAAGACCAAATCAGCACAACCAAAAATAGATTTTCAAGTGAAAATGATTTAGGAAAACATCTGAGATACATATACATATAGTTACATATTACACCAAACTATACAGTATATGACTGCATGTTGTCAAAAATGACTTGTTTATAACTGTATGATTCTGTAAGTCTTGAAAAAAATACATAAGTGTGTTTGCCTATTCATGGAATTAGGAATATTCTTATTAAATCAGCTATCTCTGATCAAAAAGATACTCCATTTCATTCTGATCATTCACAAAAAAGTATACTAATCCATAGCATTACTGCATATGGATAAACAAACTATAATGATAATGAATTGCTTTTCCACTTGAAATCTCAGCTATGTTTAATTTATCACCAGTGGATGCCATATTTGCTGAACCCCTTGAATTAAAATGAAGTTTAAGTAATTTAAGATGGTTCTCGTTGCATGTAACAGAAATAAGCCTTATAGTTGACTATGTGCTGCATCATAATGGACCCAACAGCAGTACTCCAGGTCAGATAGCTATAGACTTTTCCATTTTTTTCAGTGAGTTAATAAGTTAACTATTTGTCATTAGCCATGTTTATATTCTGCTATTGTTTTTATTCTTTCAGATAGATTACAATCAAATATACTTCATATTTTGGGTTTTGTTTGTATTCACAAAATATTTGATTTAAAATTTTCAGAAAACCAGATTATGTTCTTTCATCTTGCCTTCACTCTAGCAAAGGGGAAATACAGGTATTTGAACCGTTCCATATTTTGCATTTCTGACTAGCCAAGTTATTTCTCACTGAAAAGTATCTTTAGCATATGGTAGAATGTGCTGTTTATGGATCCTCCCTAGATCAGGTCAATTCATCAGATCAGATTTAAGGAAAACATGGGATATGCAAATGATTTAAAAGCGATGTTTTAAGTCTACACACAAATATTTTCTGGATTATAGCAACAGACTAAAGGTAATTGTGTCATCTTCAGTTGCATGGACAAAATTTTTGTGTTTTGAGAAGATGGTATTGTATGTGAACCCAAAGACATTCTGTTTTTGTTAGAGGGAGCCTCTCTAATGTTAGGAGTAAAAGAGCATTTGCAGTTGAACAGATTAAGTGTTTCAGACCATCAACCCTGCTCTGTTCAACATACCAGGGAGCCTCTTACATTATTGCTTTTCTTTGAACAGCAGTACTCCATCCCATACTGCAAAAACTACAAAAAAAAATCCTCAGACGTGCCAATGTTGTTAGTCATTAAATTGGCTCTTGGAAGAAGTGCCGAAAGCCACTCTATTCTCATAAAAGTAGTGCTACAGTTGCCTACTCTATATACCTCATCCCAATTTCTATCAGTATCAGACTTTGCAAACCAGAGAGAATGTTCAGAGGATTAGATAATAACTGTGTATAATCACAGTTATGAGGCTCATTTTACTGTTCCTTTTTTCACTAGCATTCTCATTCAGTCTTCAATTTCCTATCATCAGTTAGAATGGTGTTATAAGTGGCCATTTTATAAAATGTTCATGCAGACTAGTAAGGTACTACTTGAGCTTGTCTAACACACCCTCTAAATTAAACCTCTTAGGAAAATTGTGGGTGAAAATGGTTTCTTATCTTTAATTTGCATTCCACGATTTTTTCATATGAATTTCGGAGCCACTTTTTTTTTTTTGCTGTAATTTACATTTATACAGAGCTGTTTAAATTTCACTTGCTAATTGAGGAGCAACCCAATGAAGCCCGTTATATGTAAGCAAATAAAGGCTTTTTATCTTTTACTTGAGACAACAATCACCAAGTAATGTCTCCTACTCCCTTTCCAAGTATTTGGGTAAAACTACATCCAGAGACACACAACAGTGTTAAAAAAAAAGCAAAAGTTGCTGGTCTCTGGAAAAGTGTAACTACATCATGTATAGCCCACATTGTACATCGTGTCCAAAACAAGTTAAATTCCTGCTTATTCATGAGACTAAATCTACTCCCAAAGCTGATAACAAGTCAGCAGCTCCTCCTGTTAAGACTTCAGTACATTCATATCAAGTTTTTAGTACTAAAATTTATCTTACTAGAAGAGCACTGACAGATGAAACTAAAGGTGGGACAGCATTATGTGCTGCAGACAAGTGAAATATGATGTCCATTATTAATTTTATTTTACAGGCTTTTAATTTTTATATAGGACATTTAAAGTTGATATTAGTTCAGCAATATTAATATTTTATTGTAATAAAATCCATTGTGGCTGGCCTAGACTGACATAAATATATTTCTATGCAAGAAGAATCAATAGATTCTTGTGACCTAGTCCTCGTATCTCACACAGACCAGAGACATATATTTTATGATATATTTATTCCCTTAACCTGAAAAGGATATTTTATCAAGAAAGCAAATATTTGGGAGGACAAATTTATAGTGCAATCTTTGTGTACTTACTCAGATATAAAAATAGCCATAAAGCATGAAAAATGAACACTTTAGCAGAGTTGAACTCTTTCTGTTTTAGGATCACATTAATCTCTGGTCCATTTTTTTATCCCTGTGTCTCTTTTTGTGGGTCAAATAGGATTAAACATTTAATCTTCCCTATTAAATGTTTTTGACTAACATGTTTTTTTTATCTTGTCTGTACCCATGACTATGGGAGGATACTTCCGCTAACATAACAGGACTCTCCCCAATTTCTTTGTTCTTTTGATATCATGTGCTCCTCATATCTGGAAGGATCTCTGCATATCCAGAGCAGATCTGGAAGTCATGCAGAGACTGCACAACTGAGGAGATTCAGTGGAGGGCATGACTATATCAACAAAGAAGCTGCAACTGAATACAACCATACATTTTTAAAAAGGCAGAAAATAAGGGGTGAAAAACCCCATTTATTGGTTTGCATTAACAATTTAATCTCCACAAACATTTTTTTTGTTTTTCTAGTGTACATGGCTTTCTATTTTATCTATTTCTTTCTTTCACATGTTTTTTTTACTGAACTCTGATCGCTGAATTATATTAAAATTCTCTAATAAGGTAAGACTAATATTATAGTTAAGCAGATATTAGTCACCCCGTTGGAAAAAGAAAACACCTGTTAATTGATTATTAATGAAAAAAATCAGTTGGTTTAACTGATCTTGTAGATTAACATGTGATTACAGTTCAAAAATAGTGCCTTGAGTCTGACACTCCTTTTTAAGCAGGAAAGAACAAAACCCAGATGGAATAAGAATAACGAATCCCTTGCTAAAGAAACAAGAATTCAGTTTTCAATCTTTTGGTCGTGTTTTCTAAGGATCAGAAACAGACCTACGTAGCTATAGACCAGTGGTTCTCAACCTTTTTAATGCCGCGACCCCCAACCGGTCGTAAGTTGAGGACTAAACCGGTCGTAAGTCGAGGACTACCCAACCGGTCGTAAGTCGAGGACTTTCCCTGCCCGGGAGCGCCGTGCATGCGTGGTTCCGCCCCCTGCGCTGGCCGAGGCGTAGCTGGCAAGTGGCAGAGACGGAGCAGGCCGACCAACAGCTGGCCCAGCTCAAGGGAGGTAAGGTACCCACCGGAAAAGGGGGAAAAAATGGCGGACAGCCTTGCTTGGCGATCCCGTGAAATGGTCGATCGACCCCAAATGGGGTCGCGACCCATAGGTTGAGAACCGCTGCTATAGACTATATAGAAAACCGGAAATAATGATTGCTTCTTTTTTTGCATCAACTTCCTGAATTATGACCTAACCTATTATGTTTTTAAAAAGCCTAATTCAGCTATGCCTGCAATCTCCTTCTCTAGTCTTTTTCAGATTCTTGATGAACAGGTTTTAGGGCCTTTACAAGTTCACTTTTTTCTTCTCCCTGCTTTTTCTCTTGCTTAATAATTCTAGAGAAAATGAAAGCTTGCTAATTATTCTGCTTTGTCTTTCTTAGAGAACAATCTTACTTCAGTTTTAAATTCTTTTATTATGGGACAGCAGTCTCAGTCGATTTTATTTCAGGTCATTAGGCCTTACTCATCATTTTATGTACCAAAAATATTATTTCATAATGATATGTATGCTACTACAAAACATATTTGGTAGTGAATGAAATGAGGTAGATATTTTAAAAATAAACCTCTTTAAAAACTAGCATCTTAAGAAATGTTATTATGAAAAAAGTCATTAAGGAACAAAGATTACACTACAGAAAGTTTGAAAGATAACATTTCAGCATTTTTCAGCATATTTAATCATTCAACATGAAGGGGAGAGAATTCTGTTACTGTAATAGTTAAAGGCCCTGATGCTTATCATCTGTTATCATTATTTAACATAACCAGTACTTTCTATAAAAGTGTGATTTTGCTCTAAATATCATAAAGAGATGCCATAAATCCATAAAATTAAAAGCCTACCTGTTACATTAATCGGGATAACATCAGTTGGGACTGCTTGAGCCTGTTGTCGCATCTTCTCCTCTGGAGTTGGCAATGGAAGTGATTTGGTCCAATTTGTCTGAGTGTTGATGTCAGACAATTCAGGAGCTGGCGTTTTGGGTCTTTTGACAGGAATGAGCTTCTCCTCTTCGGGAGAAGGAGTCGAATGCTATAAAAAAAAAACCCAGTATATCATCAATTGTAGGGATTTTATAAAATTTGCTTTCAAAAATTGCAGCAAAAAGGTAAATTAGACATTTTTCCAGCAACACATTACCTTATTTTAAATAAAGCAGTTCTTATGTGAACAAGACATTGTGACAGAATTTGAAAAAACGTTTTGGACATCTGACTCAGTTTCTTATGACAGTTTTGCGGAAGATTTTTAATAGCCAAAGCAAGTGTAATCCATGGTTCAATTCCTTACTAAAGCATTTAGTAAGAAAGTAATCAAATATGTAACCATTCATTTATTAGCATATTAAAAGAATTCTATATTCACACTTCAAGACACAGACAACTGCAAGTCTATAAATCTATAAGTGATAGGTTAATTTTTCTGCAATATTTTCACTTTCTGGAAGTATTCTAAAGCAAACTCATTTGGGACTTTCTTATTTTTATTTTTAAATTTGATTAGCATTAACTTCAGCAACAGTGATGTATGATTTTTTTTAGAAAAGCCATTGTTTTGCATTTCATCATGGAATAGCATACTCCATTTTTTCTCACAACGAAGTATCTTGGGAGATAAAAAGTTGCAATATCACAGATTATGAGCACTTGAAGATATTGAAACTACCTACTGTGCAACCTTTATTATTGTACTCTCAAAAGTTAATACATTCTTAAGATTTGATAAATGTCCATTGTAACATTAATTTGATGAAATGTTATATAAGAAAGCTAAGAATATATCAAAGTCCATCTCAAAAATATGTTAACATAGATACATTTATAGGAATTTTTATAATAAATGCAATGGACAAACTACAAATCAAGGAATGCAGCTTATTATGTCAGTTCAGGTTAAAACTCTGTCAAAAGTTGAGAATGACTTCAGTGAGAACATAAATACCTAATACCCTCTTAGAGTCTTGCCTATTTATGAATATTTCATCATAAATCATCACAACTGTGATGCTCAAACATTAAACTAATATATCTATATATGGCAGTTTCCATAAGTCCCCACTAAGATTTCTGACTGTCAGGGAGTCCCGTGGTCACATGACCTGCAAACTTCCCTGCCAGCTTCCCACAAGCAAAGTCAATGGGAAAGCCAGTAGCAAGTCAAAAGTTGTGATCACGCGAGGTCCTCCTGGTGATTGGCGGGATTGCCGTCTCTAAACAATGCAATGACATGATATTGTGCTTTATGTTCACATCTTTTAGTGATGAAAATTCTGGTCCCAATTATTGTAATTAAGCAAGGGCCACTTGAACAATAAATGCTATATCCATTTTTTAATCTCCTAGAAGTGTTTTTCTGAAATATGAAAAGATGCCTTGGTGGGAAAAAAAAGGTACACATTATGAAGCTGCACCAAAGCAAAGCCATCTTAGTCATATAAATATCTTAACAGTAAATCATGAATTACTGCTTACTTCCAGGATAGCCTTACAATAAACTGATTTTTAAAAATTTTCTCAGGCTAGTGCTAATTTTGAAATTGTATAACTGGCAGAAAAGAATACATAATGCATAAGAATAAGAAACCCTTCATTTTTGAGTGCAAGATAGAAATAGTAGAATGGATTGTTATTTATTATGTAATAATAGCCAAAAGGGATGTTTCTTCTGTCTTGGGTTCACTGAGAATGAAATAATACTTCAAGTATGGTGCTGCTATGTGATAAGCCACAGCAACATATTTCAACATAATCATAAACATACTGATTAACAATGTAAAAATTAGTAACTGTCATAAGATGATGACCCTGAATTTAATTTTTTTCAAATATGAAAAGAAATAAAATTGCATATATTAAATAGTGAATGATACTTTTGTTGGGAAAGGGGGACCATACAGCTATAAATAAACACTGTTTAAGACCACTTATAATATTTAATATAACAAGTTTGCTGACAAAGAAAGACATCTATGATGGATCCACAGAACAAAATACTAAGGTATTTACCAGCCGAAAAAAAATGAATTTCTCATTTGATTATCACTGAACAGTTAAATAGGTATCGTCACTGAACAGTTAAATAGGTATTAATCTCTTATAATAAAAATGTTTTAATTTTTTTTCAATATTTAATGTACTAAAGTATTTTGATTCAGTCAAAGTAGCCACTACTTTTAATACACCAAATCCCACTTGGGGTCCTAGCATTAACAAATAGGAAATGTATTTTTCTAGGTCATTCCAATCTGAACATTGCTGAGAAACAGTTTCAGTGTTATCGCAACTGATAAAGAAATGTAAATATGGATTGCTTGTAGCAGCTGAAGTAATGCACTGGCATTATCTATTATTAAATGTCCTAAAATTTTAATTCTAGAATTCTTAATATTTTGGGAGAGTGAAATTTAAATTCAGTATGAGATTATTGGAACAAATAAAACTAGACAAAGGACTTTTTGGTATCAGGAATTATTCTGTAGGATCATTGCACTCCACTCATTCTTTATCATTGCAGCATAGACGAAGCCTACTGTACATTTATTGTCTGTCTCCAGGGACATTTAATGAATCAATCATCAATCAATCAATCATTCAATCCAGTACTCACTAAATAAGGGAATTTAATAGGAAAATGCCTATAACCATTATACAAAAATTCTACACATTGATGAGTAGAAAAACTCCAGAAACTAAAGAAGATGCAAAAGTAGAGCCTTTCTATTGAAGAAATTGTATATTTTGCATTTATTTCATTTATTCACTGTATAGTTAATAATTTAATTCCCTTACACAGCAATACTATGCACATTTAATTGGAGCATATCCAACTGAACAACGTGCATTTTTATCTAAAGTACATAGTTAAACTTGGCAGATCTAAAAAAGGTAAACAGCATCAGGTATGCTTAATATTTGGATGGAAAACAATCAGAAAACCCCAGGGTTTTATGCTAGACCGGGTAGCTAAAAATTTTTCCAGAAGAGAATAACAAACCAATTCCATATTCAAGAAATCAACTTGGACTGTCAAACTAAATTCAGGAACTGTGCCTTGCAAAATTGTAGTCTTAATCCAATGTCTTTAGGATCTTATGTATTTATAGTTTCTTTGCTTGATATAGATTTCTGAGAGCATCTGTCTTACACAGTCTTATCAAAGAAAGGATGATGTTGTAGTACATAAAACTATATTTTAATTTGAGGCTCTCTTTAAATCAAAATTTCTCTGATGCAAAGTTCATTGCATAATACAGTCATATCAATAAATGTTGACACTTACATATATTAAAGTTCTATTTGACTTTGTACAATGGTGTTTAAAAGTTTATGAACTCTCTTGAATTTTCAATATTCCTGCATAAATATGACCTAAAATGTGATCTGTTCTCCAAACAAGCTCTAAAACTAGATAAAGAGATGTCATATTGATGTAGAAATATTGAACATTCAAGAGAGTTCACAAACTTTTAAGCACCACTGTATTCTTTTTCAGAATGTAAAGCTACTCATTTAAACAAAAATCTATTCCAAGCAACAGCAAACGTTTGGCTATTTTAAAAGATTTGAGAGGAACCTGAATGTTAATCCGCCATGAATCCAGCTGGTTGGTCTCCTTCTGCTTCTTCATTCATTATCACAGAATTGAAAGATTGATTTTAAGGGGCACTGAATAAATTCATGGAGGATGTGTCTATCAAAGACTATTAGTCTTAAGATTTAATGAGGGCAGTATGTTTTCCACTGAAAGGTGGCAGTATGCTTCAAAATACTTGCAGGGGAACAATGATAGAAGATAGTCTCTATGTTCTGGTATGAACATCCTACAATTGACTATGTGAAACATAATTATGGATTAGGATGAGCATTGAGTTAATCTAGCAAGGGCTATGTTCTTACCACTATCACCAATGTTTTTCTTAGAAATTCCAAATTTAGAAAACATTTAAGCAACAGCTTTCTCATTACCTTTTCTTTTGTGAAATCTACAATTACAGCACAAGAATTGTATAAAACAACAATAAAATCTTTTCCCCCCCTGTTATCTCTATACTGTAGGAAGCCAGCTATTTATGCTGGAATTAACTAGATATGGATAGACATCCTTGACATACGAATATTTTGATTTCTTGCAATCACATTCAGAGAAGGATTTAGGGATTGCCAAAAAGGAGATTTGGAAGCTGCATAAGTTCCTTCTGTAAGATGTATGAGTTAGCAAGACCCTAAGAGTTTGTCACCATTCATTCTTACATTAAAGTTTTTAAGAAAGTTTTGTACTTAAAATTAGTTTGGAAATTCAATGTTATGACAAAATGTACAACATTTTCTGAATGTTAGTAACTTCCCACAATGCCCATTTAGAAAACAGGAAGAAAACAGGACAGCAAAAAAAAAAAAGGTTCAAATTTGCCAAGAAATGAAATAATATTTTAAAAAGGAATAGGGAATTTACTGTTACTGCACAGTATTTTTCCCTGTGACATGAAACAAAACAGCAGGGGAAATTTTAAAATAAGAGCACTGTTAAGAAGAGGACAACAGCATGAGGCTGCGGATATTACAGCTGGATGATTCTGGAGGGGGCTTGATACCTTGATCGTCCATGACATCAAACAACAGCAGGCACTTAAGCAAGACTGAGGGAGGCAGTCTAACAGACTAGACTGTTGGGTGAGAGAGAAAAAGAAAGCAAATGAGTGACGAAGAGAAAATAATGAAAACACACAGACATAAAAAAGACATAACAGACACAGTATGCACATCACAGTACAAATAATTTAAAAAACAGGGAGAAGTTGTCATATGAAAACACATCTTTTCCATAGAACATATAATGAATGCAAGAGAGGAACAGAAAAGGAATATTACTTGGATCAACCAATTCAGTGTGTTTACAAGTAGGAACTGTACTTAAATTAGCATCATCAACCAGGTCTTAACATGACAAACACCTCAACTTGTGTCAGGGATTACATGTGTGTGCACAATGATAATCCAGAACTAAGTCAAAAGAATATATAACTATGCCTATATCAGGTCAAAGAAATTGTCTATGTAGTCCATATTATCTTCTCTGACAACCAGAGATGGGTCTTTTAAATCACCCATTCACGAACTACGGGGGCATACCTCTGTTTTTCAAAACAATCATAAATGCTAGATTAATAGAGCAATCAAGTCATAGACTTCCATTTAAATGTGGTGAAACCATGCACAATGTTTATTATTTGAAAATTATGTCTCAGTTCATAAAAAAACTACAGTATAGATTTGAGTTTCTATGAAAATGGTTGCCATTGTTACATCAACCAGTACATGTCGTACATTTTTCAATTGGCAGCATTTATGTAACTCCTCAGAATACAGTATTTGATTGTCAAGCCTTTAATTAGTACTATACAAACTAAAAGGATGTAGAGAACAAAAGTTGAACATTTATGTCAGGGGCATATAACCTGCAGCATCAGAGCTACAGGCAGCCTAACTCCTCTTTTTTGTGGTCCTCGGATCCAATGGCTCAAAACCAGTGGTCTGATTTCTACCTATTTTGAAGAGGAAATGCATGAAAATTGTAGTCTAAGCTCTAAAATGGGCATATAAGCATTACAAATGAAAGGTTACTAAACTTATGGAATTATTCCTAGCCTTGAACTATGCCATAGGTAAACTATGGCTTTTGGCCATAAAGAGGTTGTTGCCTATTTCATGGAGGGGAAGGTTCTTCACAACATTAATGCTCTCTGTTTCTCTCCATGCCGAATTTCTTGATTTACACCTCCTCCCCACGTATTCACCAAAATAAAATGACTTTCCTGGACGGTTTCTGTTTCTTGCTGAGCTGCTGCAATATAAATACCTACATTCACCCTGGACAATGTCCTGGTCTTCACCTTTGACTGCCAATCAAATGAGAAGAAGTAGACGCACAACATGAATAAAACAGATTTCCTCTAGAAATGGAAAGCCAAGCATTTGGAGGTTGGAAAACATGCCGCTATGGGAGCTGAGCCACACATGAATGTTTGGGAAGGAAAGAATAATTGATACACAGAGAAAGCTGCTGGAATGGGGCCAGTTGACTAAAGAAAGAGGGAAGGGAGGGATGAGTCAATGATGCATACACCCAGTTTGCCTTCTGTAAAATGAATACTTGAAAGGGAAAGCAACACTCAAAATTGTGACTTGGAGTTTGGGAATTTAGATCCTACCCCTAAGATCCACTCAATATTTTAGCTTACTGTTTTGTGGCAGTCTCCTGTACTGATTTATAATGGATAAACTAGCTTAACAAGTATACTACGTGGCATATTAACTAGATTTTAAAATTTTATTTATAAGTACTAATGTGTAGGCATACCTTCAATGAAAAATTGCCTAGAAATAGAAAGCTAAAGTATTTTTTACAGTAAAAACCTTTGCAATGTTTTTGTCAGAAGATCCATTCTGTTTACTGAACCTTTCAGGCAAATTACTACCCTTTATGTAGTTCATCACATAATGAACAGGTTGCTTACCTGTAATTGGCTCTCTGAATGGTCATATGTGCATTCACACAGTCTTTCTTGGGAATTTTCCAAAAGTGAAAAATACTTTGGCAGGAAAGAAGCTTTGCTGTTCATGCTTGAGGTTTCTCTTCTACTTTCCCGAGACAATACAGAGGGTAAAAGAAGCACCAGAATTTATCCAAAATACTCACTAGAAAGGGGAAGGTGGGTGGGTTGTGTGGATGCACAGATGATGTCTTCCAGATCCCTAGCAACAGATAATCAGTCTTTTTCTTCACTGAGATCTCTAAGTGCTTCTCACATATGGGTAACTAGAAACCTTATCTTCCAGAAACAAGTAGCTTATCATATGAACAACAAAGACAACACATCTCAGCCAAAGGTAACATCTGTTCAGGATCAAACTCCCACTGCAATAATGCTTGACAATTATCAGTGGTTGAGAACATGTATATTTGCACAACTATAGCTAATGCATCACCTTTAGTTCTTCTTGAGCATATTGTACTTGGCAACTCTTATTTGTACTTGGTTATAATTCTGCCTGACTACTGCAATGTGCTCTGATGAGGCTATCTTTGAAAAATGACCAGAAATTGCTGCTAATGCAAAATGCTGTAGCTAGATTGAGAAGCTGCATGAGCTGACAACTGTCTATCAGATACAGTATAAGGTTACTTTCAAAGGTAGGTCTGATTATCTAAGGCAGGGGTGTCAAACTGCTGGCCCGCGGGCCGGTTTCATCATACCGGAACCGCGCCCACCCCATTGCCAGCAACGGCAAAAAAGCTCCAGTACATTGCGTGACGTCACATGACGTCACGAGTTTGACATGTCTGATCTAAGGGACCAACTTTTATTAACCTGACTGGGTACTTCAATAAGGCCCTTTTGAAGATGCACTCATTGCCACAAGTTTATCAATCTGGTATGCAGCAGAGAGTTCTGCATACCAGATTGAATTCACTCCCCTGAATTCCCACTTTCCCAACATTTAGGAAAATGGCAAAAACATCTATTTTGTCATACACTTAATTGAAATGAATGAGGGTAATCAAGATGAGAATCTATTAAAAAGGGTGCACAGGTAGTCCATGTTTAGCATCTGTCTTGTTTAACGGCCATTCTCAGTTATGATGGGGAAGAAAATGTAACTTTTGGCCAACCCTTGCATTTATAACCTTCATAGGTCTTTAAAGCAAAGGAAGCTGAAGTAAGATTATAGAAGCACAATCACAGCTTCCAAGCTTCCAGTCCCAGTTGTGGTTGCTAAACAAGGATTATATATAGTATCAATCAAGATGAAGACTAGTTTGGATATAGCATATTCTGGAGAATAATTCATTCTTCCTGAAAAAGCTGTCTGTAGTTAGAGACTCCTTCATGGCCCACTGAAGTCTCCAGAACTTCAGCTGATAGTAGTTTTAACTGCAGGACTGGCATAATTATATTTACTGCATAAGTCAACCTGATTTGGGAACAACTGTAAATGTCTCATTTGCAACATGTAGCAGCCATATTGCTGACTGATGTATCCCATTGGACTACATTATTTTGATCGTGAATTGTCTGCACTGATCACTGTTCAACAAAGTCAGTACAAAGTGTTGATGTTACTCTTCAATTTGGTATCAATATATGAGCTTGCTTAGTTACGTGAAAGATTCAGACAGATTGTAAGCCACCCAGAGTTATCCTGCAGTAAGTTGGGCAGCCAATACATTTAATAAATAAATAAATAAAATTTAGAGGAGATGCCTCCTCATCAATATAGGAAGAACATCCTTATAATTCAAATTGTTTCACCTTTGAAAAAGTGTCAAATATTTTTTACCTTTTTAATGTTCTTTAATTCTTCCTGCTGTTGTTTATATGTGTCTTATATGTTTCTCTCTATATATATTATAGATATAATATACAATATTGCATGATGACACCAATACTCTAGAATTCCTTCCCTCTGAGTAGCTTCTTTTTTTACTATTTCTTTAAGAAACATATCAAAATATATTTTTATTCATTAGATTTTTTTTTTTTAGAGAAGTCATGCCTATTTGGGAGCACATGACAAATGAACTAATTAATTAAAGGCTGCATAAGGCAGTGGCGTAGCGTGGGTTGTCAGCACCCGGGGCAAGGCACCCCCCCTCCACAGTGGGCGGCGTTGGCGCCCCGGCGGCTCGGCTCGGATTCGCACAGCCAGCACTGCAGAGAGTGAGTGAGCCAGGCAGGGGCAGAGAGCTGCGAGTGCGAGCGCCCCCCCCGATGTTGCGCCCGGTGCGGCCGGCCCCCCCTGCACCCCCCACGCTACGCCTCTGGCATAAGGGACAGGTATTACTAAGATATGATGCTATCAATTCATTGTGGCATAAATAATTCAAACAATAGAATAAAGAAGACAATCACTTTATGTTCACACCCTACATATCAAAGTGCAAACAAGGGAAAGCCAATAAAGGAGTGGTCCTGTCATTTATGGTACGTTCTATGGGACAATGTGAACACTACAAAGTCAGGGTATTTACAAGAGAACAATAATTCTTTCTACTTGTTCATAAAAGCAGCAAAACCTAACCTAGCCAGTTTTTAAATCAGAGCTTTTGTACCTGAGTGTTTGCACAGTAATTTATTTATTTATTTTTGCAAATAAAACTATTCTGCAGAACTGAAACAAGATCCTTTTGGAACAGAACATTTTAAAAGCTGAGTTATCATTTTCAAATCTGGAACATAATATATATATCTTGTGCGTTTATTTAACTTATAAAAATTTCTGCAATATTTTTCATTATCTTTTCAAGAGCCTGCTGTCTCACCTTCTGTTCAATTTCTTCATAATCATCTTGGTAACTTCCATAGATTGTGGGGGATGAAGATGAAAATGTTGGACCCTGAGAATAGTATTGAGAACTTCTACAGCCATCTCTCCGAAGTTTGTCACATTCTGTAAGTGGTGGAGGATATATAAGAAAAGGATACCATTAACTGTTGTTGATTTACACAAACATTTCAAACAAGAAGTACAAATATTTCCAAGGAGGACTTATTCATCTGTAACTAGTTTTCTCGTCTTTAATGGTTGAAAAGAGAAGAAAGTGTGGCTAACTGATGTGGCAATGTCAAAGGATAGAAGAATAGGAGGCAAAGAATTGAAGAAGATCACAAAGTATCAAAATCTGAAAACCAAAGTTGAAAGTTTATGGTGTGGTGGTCCCAGTCCATAAACTGGCTGTGATGGTGCCATACCAAAAAAAAAAACCCCTCAGATGGCACTTAGAAAATCTGCTCACTGATAATAATAGTTCCATATGTCAATTACAAAAGGCCAGACTGCTTGGATTCACACATATATATGCTAATGCATTACAACATCTTAGGTTCTTGGGAAGAACTCAGTGTATATGAAGGCCAACACCAGCTAAAGAACTGGCAGCTGTGAGTTCACATTGTTGTGTATATTATTATTTATTTAGTGTATGATGAGAACACGACAGAAGAGAAGTAAACATATATAGGTAGGCCACATAATAATCATAACGATGTCCAATTCAGCTATCCAGGCAATCGCCTCTCGCATTGCAATGGTTACTTGCATCTATAGCAGCGGTTCTCAACCTATGGGTCGCGACCCCATTTGGGGTCGATCAACTATTTCACGGGGGTCGCCAAGCAAGGCTGTCTGCCATTTTTTCCTTTTCCGGCGGGTGCCTTACCTCCCTTGAGCTGGGCCAGCTGGTGGTCGGCCTGCTCCGTCTCTGCCGCTTGCCAGCTACGCCTCGGCCGGCGCAGGGGGCGGAACCACGCATGCATGGTGCTCCCGGGCAGGGAAAGTCCTCAACTTACGACCGGTTGGGTAGTCCTCGACTTACGACCGGTTGGGTAGTCCTCGACTTACGACCGGTTTAGTCCTCGACTTACGACCGGTTGGGGGTCGCGGCATTAAAAAAGTTGAGAACCACTGATCTATAGCATTCCTTAAGCTACACATGCTCCCTGGAGAGTGCAAAATGGGTGACAATGTCCAGATGCAGCCATACTGCCCTTTTGGGCCTCACAGTCAGGATAAACAGAAGTGAATAAAATCAAATGAGTTATGTATATAATAATAATAATAATACATTCTAACAAATATTTTTCAGAATATACAGGAATTGCTGAGATAAAGAAGCTGAGTAAAATTGAATTATCTTTCCATAAACATTCTAACAACAACTTGTTTACATTTAATCTGGATAAAATCTCTTCATTTATATAATTAATTTTCAATTAGTACCTTTCTTAACTGATATTCAGAGAAATATTGCTAAGAATAACAGACGCTGGAACATATGGGAAAATAAAACCATCAAGATTTGGATGAACATGCTAATTTGCCCAATCCAACTACTTATTTCACCTTTCCAGATATTGGAAAGGGGCAGGTGACAACCAACATTTTTCAAAGTCTGCAAAATTAATTTTATCACTATAATATGATCCAAATGTTTATGGAGATTCTTAATCATTCAGCTCATAGGTGCTTTTTCCAAAAGGCAACTAGACTTTCTTGGTTTTTTTCTTTAAAAACATTTAACTTCTCATCCAAGAAGTTTCTTCAGTTCTATAATAAGAGCCACAAAGCTTTATACAATGTTTTGTATTTTGGTATGTTCATTCATATATATAGGTGCATAGAGTCATCTGTGTTGAAGAAAAAATATTGTATCAGTCCAATGTAGGGCCACACCCAAATAAAATATCTGTACTGCAGTATTAAAATTATAGCATTATGTGATAATATGTAATAACCATCCAATTGTACAATGAAGCCTATTGGGTTTACCAGCAGATGGCCTACAGAGGCAATCACACTGCCACAAATTTTCAATACAGTAATCCAAATTTTATAATCTCTGAAATCTGGGATTGTTGTGGATTGTTTTGCTTTTAGTTACAACAACAACAACAACAACAACAACAATAATAATAATAATAATAATAATAATAATAATAATAATGATGATGATGTCCAACCCCCTGCTCAGGCAGGAAACCCTGGCCTATACCATTTCAGACAAATGGCTGTCCAATCTCTTCTTAAAGACTTCCAGTGTTGGAGCATTCACAGCATCTGGAGGCAGGTTGTTCCATTGGTTAATTGTTCTGTCAGTTAATTAACAAGCCAAGAGAGGAAACTATGCTTTTATCCTAGTTTAAATTTTTATTACAAAACGCACAGTGCCTGACTTTAGATGAAATTTAAGCTGACTATGAACATGAAATCACTTAGCTCTTTAAAGATACATGGGATCATTCAAATGAAGTAGAAACTTCTCCTACTGCGTTTGATTAAAAGTTATCAGAGCTACATTGTTGATACAGAAGTGAAATAAATATAGAGGTATTTGCTAACTTTGTCACAATGCAGGATTTGCACTTTTTGTTCATGTACATGTGTTGCAACATCTTATTAAAAACTTATTAAGGGGAAGAACTTATGGCACAAAAATAGCTCCTAGTTCCCACATAATACCTATCGATGATTAAAAACAAGAAAATAATTTTTCTTTCTTTCTCTCTCAACACACACACGTACCCCAACCCAATCAAATTTGGGGTTTTTTTAAATCTCAGTTTATTCATGAACTCTTATCTGGTTTCTGTATTCTTTCACAAAAGCAGCCAAGCAAGCATGATTTAAAGAAAAGCAAACTCAAATATGGTGTAAGTCAATTCCTTGAAACATAAAACTGTTTTGACCGAGACCAGCAACTGAATTCCATCTGAGAAAGATGTTAATTGCAATGTTCTGAACAGAGTAGAACGGCAAGCTTTGCAATTAAATTAAAGGTGCAGGACTATGTCAGATAACAAGCCTGATTGTTTTCTCATCATCTCCTGAATTCATCATGTTACATAGTTACTTATCTCACTTAAATAATGCAGGAAACTCAAAACTTCTAGCAAATGGAGCCTGCCTTTGTTAACAAAGAGCATATTGCAAACAGCAAAGAATAGATTGGCAGAATCTTTTATTACATAGATTATGAAGATTATGCAGTTCTGAAAGCCACCTATAGAACTGTAAAAGCTGTTTTTTTTAAAAAAACACCTTGCTTATATTTTTTTTCCTGCTGTAATTATTGTTTGTCCCAATTCAGTCTATTTCAAAGAAGGTTTGTTCACTTAGCAAAATGCTGAAGTGTGGTTTTGCATGTAGACTAGGAAGCCTCAATATATGTAGCAAGCACATCAGCCAAAGTATTCATCCCCCCCCATTCATATGCATCTGAAATTATGTGGGATGTTCATATAGCTTATAGAATGTATTGTGATACTGTGATGTTGTTGTAACATTGTGATGTTCAATTTATTTTCCAGAGCCCCAGAAGGCAAGACAAGAAAAAATGGATGGAAACTAATCAAGGAGAGAAGCAACCTGGAATTAAGGGGAAACTTATTAACAGTGAGGACAATTAACCAGTGGAACAGTTTGCTTTCACTTGAGTTTTTTAAAGAAAAGATTGGACAGCCACTTGCCTGAAATGATATAGGGCAGTGGTGGCAAACCTATGGCACGGGTGCCAGAGCCGGCACTCGGAGCCCTCTTTATGGGCACACATGCCGTTGCTCCAGCCTTGCCTCCCCCCACAACCCCTCCTCTCCAGCAGCCCCCCTGAAGGAGACTCGCCCTTGAGCCCACACGGAGCAGCGCAGCCAAGAACATGGCAGCCAGGCAGCGTAGACAAGACTCTGCCCTCACACCCCATCATGCAGTTGATGCTGCAGGGTGCAGGCAGAGGGCGTGACCGCCATAGCACTGCTTGGGCTGCCTGGGCGATCTGCGGCGGGCCCTGGAGGTGGTGAGTGGTCCTGTGGGCAGGCGGGGCAGGGGATGGGGGCAAGCAGGGGGGTTGAGTGGGGTGGGGCCAGTTTTTGGGCACTCGGTCTCTAAAAGGTTCGCTATCACTGATATAGGGTCTCCTGCTTGAGCAGGGGGCTGAACTAGAAGACCTCCAAGGTCCCTTCCAGTTCTATTCTGATTCTGATGTTTAATTCCTCGTAGCCACCCAGAGTCATGATGTTGAGATGATAACCATATAAATATAAATAAATAAAGTAGAAAAAGTTAGTCATTTTCCTTTTAGCTGGGTGGGAGAAGACTATGTGATCAAGCCTTGAAAATGTGGTTACACAGTTTATATATCATAATGCAATACCCCAAGTTTCCATGTAGCTACGGTATAAGCGGTACTACACTTATACAACATTGAGAACTTTTGCTGTAGTAGCAAAAACCACAGTGTAAATCACAAACTCAATCCCCTGACTCTTCATAACATTTTTATGCTGTTTTTGTCACTGAATACGATTCTGATAATATTTTCTTTTAATTCTGGTTGTCTATTTTCCATGCCGTTTTAATAGCAAAGCAACTAGTCAAAAAAGCTTCGTTTTACATTACTTCAAATATCATGTTTTTGAGGAAGAAGCTATTTCTCTTCTCACACATGGAACGCTTCCAACAGCAGGTACTGCAGAAAGCATAAAATGCACTACAGAGCTCATTATTTCCTCTAGCAAAATAGAGTCCAGAGGTACAGGACTCCTGCCTTCTGGATTATTTACAGTATTTTTTTTTAAATAGCCCTTATATTTAGGAATTCTCCATCAAATCTATAGAGAGCACTTTTTTTTAGTAATCTGAGCACAAGCAATTGATCAATTAGTGCTGAAGTACATGTGATCATTTTAATTTTTTTTTTACAATAGAATAAAAATAAACTTCTTAAAAGCCAAATGATTAAACCAAGAGAATTCTTTGTAGTAGAATGGACTACTTGAGTTCTTTGTAAAAATATATTCAAGTAAATCAGTAAGTCCCCTAGTGCAGGGGTCCCCAATCCCCAGTCTTGGACCTTGGTACCAGGCCATGGCATGCCAGCAACCAGTCCGCACAAACAA